TAAGAAAATGAGAAAAAATGAGAAGGGGGAAAAAGGAAAGAATAAGAGCTGAAGATCTTGCAAAGGATGCAAAGATTTTAGGGGCCAAGCATAGATTTGGCAAACACACACCATTTCTGCACCCATTCCCTTTGCCAGAACTACTGTGTTTCCCTGAAAATAAGACACTGTCTTATATTTATTTTTTCTCAAGAAGACACACTAGGGCTTGTTTTTAGGGGATGTCTTCCTCTCTACACTGAAATGCATGACGTGGCTATGCATCGTATCTGTATACCCACTATATACCCACTGTATACACCCATCACTAGGTCTTATTATTAGAGTAGGGCTTATATTGAACAAATGCATAGAAATCCTGTTAGGACTTATTTTTTGGGTAGGTCTTATTTTCAGGGAAACATGGTAGTTATGTGGCTCTAACCTACCAGCCAGCCAGGGTTCCTGGGAAATCAAATCTCCCCATTTGCCTTATAATAAAAAGGATAGTGGAGTTATCTATGCAGCTCTGGCTCAACCTTTAACCATGTAACATATTTTTTGTCAGTGGCAGACATTAATCTACTTGTATTGTTCACTGTAAACTAGTCCTAAAATTCTTTGTGATGAATTCCAGAACCAGCAAATGACCTGAGAGAATTTATGCATCATTATGTTTCTTTCCCATTTTAGAAAGTTGAGGGAATCTACCGAGACATCCACTTCTGAAGATTTTATTTTTTTCTGCAGTTAGCCAGTAAACAAGGACTGTAGGTAACACGATCTTAATGACCATCCCTGACAGTCAGATTTCTGTTAAAGAACAGGTTTGTAGGCTTTGATTCCAGTAAATGGCAAAGGCAGAGAAGTTAATGATTCATTGAATGACATGGGACAACCGAAGAGTAGATTTTTCCCCCTACTGCTCTCTAATAATTATTTCTTCCTGTTGCAACCAGTGTTTGTACTCAGCTCCAGTGGGAGGGATGATCGTGCAATTTTCTGTGTCTCACATCACCAAAAAAGTGACTTACTCCTGCAGGTTAATTAATATTTCACTTGAAAGATTATTTTGAATCATAATTGGCCTCCGCGCAGATCAAGCATTATATTTATAAGAGCAAACCTGGGCGAGTTTTGCCACATGGACATACTGCGGGGCCATGATATGGCTTCAGAGATAATGTGTACCTAATGTTTTAGAGTGTTTCATAGGTCTGGGGAATGATTTTGAGTCCCGTTTCTTCTACCAGCATTCAGATGTTTAACACCCTTGGGAAGCAGTCTGATGCTACCATTGGTCACGGGGTCTGCAGCGTGAGACTGAGTTTGAATCCCCGGTCTCCCACTGAGAAACCTTAGGCACTATACAATACGTGTTTGCTAGGACAGCCTAGGTATTCATAGTAACAAATATCACAGACTGGGTGGCTTAAACAGCAGTGTGATTTCCTCACAATTCTGGAGGATAGAAGTCTGAGGTCAAGGTGTGGGCAGTGTTGGTTTCTTCTGAGTCTTTGATGGTGAAAGGGGAGCTTAACAGGATTAGCTCCGTTTTGCTTCTGACCCTCTGAAGTGATATCCTTTAGGTTAAAGGTTCCCGCATAGTTCTGCTTGTAGGCTAGGAGACAGGTGACAGCCAAGACTGTTCCAAAATCAACTCCTACTAGACAAAATGGTCCACACACAAGGAACAATGCCACAGTAATGACTCACAGAACATCCAGAAGAGCAAAGAAGTTTTACAGTCCTCCCCTCACTGATGCCCAGCTGACCACCCCTTCCCTTAACATAAAAAGGAGCCTCAAGTACATACAAACTTAAGATAGTTATGGGGAACATTAGTCTACCATCTGCTCCTGTTTGCTGGCTGAGTATAAGTTACTTTCCTTTCCCTAATGTCTTGTCTCTTGACTGACTGACTGTCCTGCAGCAAGTGTTACAGTCTTGAACTTGGGTCCAGGGTTGTAGACAGCTGTCTCTGTGTCTGATGTGCTCTTCCTTCCCTCTGTGTCTGGCTTCAGATGTCCTCTTTTTATAAAGTCACCAGCAACATTGGATTAGAACCCACCCTAAAGACTTCATTTTAATTCATTTACCTCTTTAATGACCCTATCTTCAAGCATAGCCACATTTTGAAATACTGGGGGGTTAAGATTCCAATATATGAATGGGGAATGAGCCCAGAGGAGGGTCTTAGTCCTGCTTGATCTGAGAAATGGGTTTATAGCATTGTTGTGAGCATTCACATGTGATACGTACAAATTGCTTAGCACAGTACGTGGACTGTAGTGAGTACCCTAAAGAGAACTTTTTTATTACAAAAATAGATAAATCATATATCTTTGTCATCTGTTGCAGTTGGAAGATGGCTGCATGCATGCCTTTTAAGTACTAAGTCTGGATTATCTTATTCTTTCTCAGGCTCTTGTAAAATTGTTTTTTTTTTTTTTTGAGACAGTCTTACTCTGTTGCCCTGGGTAGAGTGCCATGGCATCATAGCTCCCAGCAACCTCAATCTGTTGGGCTCAAGTAACTCTTGTCTCAGCCTCCCAAGTGGCTAGTGCTACAGGTTCCTGCCATGGTGCCCTGCTAGTTTGAGAGACTTAGAGACGAATTCTCACTCTTGTTCAGGCTGGTCTGGAACTCTTGAGCTCAAGCAATCTACCTGCCTTGGCCTCTCAGGGTGCTAGGATTATAGGCAGGAGCCACTGTGCCCGGCTCCCCTGCAACTTCTTAATAGGCTGCCTTTGACAGAGTACCAGGGCAAATGCCCAGGGAATGTTGATTGAGTGGATGGGTGTGAATTCTGTGCTCAGGATTTGAGGGGTCTTCAATGGCTGAGACTTTAGGATTACTAGGCACTGTGGATGGCTGTTTAATACTGCAAAAGATCCCCCTCCTGTCGGGCCTGTCCAATAGTTTGGATAAGCACCAGAGAAGAGTAATCTCTCCATGTCAGGGGCAGGAGACAGGAGACTTTCTCCATTCTTGGGGAAGTATGTACAAAATCATCAGAGGCAGATTGCCAAATGTAAGAATTATCCAAACATTGGAAGTAATTTTTAAATAAGGCAGCATGTGAAGGTGATTAGCTTTCCTGTGTTATTAGCTATCCCCTAATACTTCTCATGTGATGGAAATCGATAAAATTCTGTGATGCTGGTGAGATTTCATCTCAGGCCTAAAGAATTCCCTAGTCTCTAAATTCCTGGCATTTCTTACTTCATTGGTGTAAATGTTCTTTGGTTTAAAAAAAAAAGGTGCTGCTACTAACTCAGTCACAGCTTATGTTAAATACTAGCAAGCAGGCCTTTCTACTCAGATCAGAAGAAGGAAGGTTGGATTGCATGGCCTCTGAGGAGGCCAGTATGCAGCCCTTCTGATCAAGAGAGGCTTTGCTATGGGGAGGAACAGTGTGGTTATTCAGTCCACACAGGGTGATAGCACCCCTCAGTAGCAATTAGTTACACAGACTTCATTAAACATCAAGGGTCCATTGTTGGTCAGCTGTGCTAGGTTTCTCTTAGTGCATTAGCCCTTAACCTGTGAGTCAAGGACACCGCTAAGCCTCACCAACTAGGTCCATTCCTCTGTAAGATCAGCTGCTCAATCTGGTCACTTTTTCTTTTGAAATGCCTCTGAAAACTTTTATCTTTTAATAAAAGGTATTAAATGACAGGTAAAGAGGTATAAATACTGAGCTACAGTAAGAAAAATATTTTTCCTTTGTTCCAGGTTCCTGGCATACAGCTCCTAAAACCAGTGGAATGTCCAGAATGATAAGAATGTCCTTTAATGAGATGGCTGGTGGCCCCTAGGTAGCTTCAGGATGGGAGCTTCTTGACAGAAGGGCCAAAACATGATTAGAGGGTTAAAATGTTCAGTCCCACCCTTGACCTCTGGGGAGGGTAGAGGGGCCGAAGACGGAGTTACCCACCAGTGGACAGTGATTTAATCTACCATGTCTACTTAGTAGAACCTCCATAGAACCCCTGAACAATGGCGTTTGGAGAGTTTCTGGGCTGGCATGGGTGGAGTTCCCAGAGACACACACCACACCCGCCCTATACCTTGCCCTTGCCCTAAGCATCTCGTCCATTTGGCAGTTCCTGAGTTGTGTCCTTTATAATATACTGGTAATTTAAAGTGTTTTCCTGAGTTCCGTGAGCTGTTTTAGCAAATCATAGAGCCTGAGGAACACATCATGGGAGCCCATGGTTTATAGCCAGTTGGTCAGAAGTGCAGGTGGCAACTTAGAACTCATGATGGGTGTCTGAAGTGGGGGTAAACTTGTGGGACTGAACTCTTAGCCTGTGGGGTCAGTGCTAACTCAGGGTAGTTAACTGTCAGAACTGAACTGAATTGTCAGATACACAGATGTGTCCAGAAAGTTGGAGAATTGGTTGATATGAGGAAAAAATCCACACATTTGGTATCTTGAGTATTGTGAATAACAGCAGTGCAAATACATATATAAATGTGAACTTATATAAAGTAATTTTAACTGACTATAAAATAATAGGTATATATCCGCTCTTGTGACCATAAACGCTAAAACATTTTATTAGGGATTGGCCAAACATGGAATTAAGTGACTGGTTTAATGTTTCTAGCTTTTCTATAAATTTATTTACCTTTTTTGGGTTTTTTTGCAGTTTTTGGCTGGGGGTAGGTTTGAACCCCCCACTTGCAACATATGGGGCCAGAGCCCTACTCCTTTGAGCCACAGGCGCTGCCCTATTTAGCTTTCTTTTTAAAAAACAGAAGTGACAAAAAATTCCTTCCCTTCCAGGTCCTTCCGATGCATTTCCACTGCCCTCAAGGCGTCCATTTTTAACGTGGAGAAAAATGCACCAGTATTTCTGACTGCTATCTTTCCTTCCTTCTGGATCATTTTATTAATCACAGGTTTTTCTTTCCTGTTTCTTAATGTTTCTTTCTTAAAAGTATTCTATACAGTTGGCTTTTTTGTTTTTTAATTGTTTTAGTTAATTTAACTTTTTTTTTTTTTTTGGCAGAAAAGAACAAGTTAGTACTCTGTATCAAAACATCAACCTCGTAGAGCCAAGACTAATTCAGCCATATGAACATGTTATAAAGAATTTTATCCGTGAGATCAAACTTCAAAGCACAGAAATGGAAAACCTGGCCATTGCAGTGAAGAGGTATTGGGGTCTTTCCTTTCTCAGTGGCACATAGATCGCATCTTTAACCTGCTCCCTGACAGGGGTGGCGGTGGGGTGAGCTGCATGACCACATTATGATGTAGGTGGTCCTCCTGAATTGAACCAGCACAGAGGAAGTTGAATCAGGCAGTAGTTTATAGGGTCAGTCAGCAATCAGTTGGTCATTATGATCTTATATAAACTGTTCACGACTAATGATTCAATATAAAACAATTCAGAGATTTAGCTTACATCCAGCCACAGATCGGAAACTTCAGAAAGGCAAGCAGGACCCCATTTAAAGCCTGGATTTGTAACTCACAAATGTCAGCCGTGGGGGCTGGTTAATTAATTTGCCTGAGTCCATTCCAATATCTGCAAAATGAGGATGAAAATATTCTCACCCTCAGGGTATTGCGATTTAGTGGATGACATCATGGGTAAGCCCCTCGTGCTGTGGCTGCCGCAGCAGTGCTGCTGTCCCTCTCTCTAGCCCTCGTTACCCAGCCCTCTCCTGTGAAGTGAAAGCTAAAAACCTGTTAAACCCTTATTACTATGTCACAGACAGTCCCCATAAGCCAGAGCTGGCTCACATGGGATATCTTACTCATTTTAACAGCCATCTTGTTGCAAAAGAATTTATATGTGTTGCAATCCCAACATCAGCCCCTTTACTCCCTGCGATGACCATATTCCTTTAGCACATGTTGGGTAAAGAGGGCATTTTGTTTGTCACAAATCTTGGGTGTTGTACCCCACAGATGCTGCTCGCTCCCATGTGCTCTGCCAGCAGGTCCCACCACACTGCACACCTTGCTGGCCTCTGCCCCGAACCTGTGAACACAGCCCCTTTGAGGGGGTGCTGCCTGTCTGTCTGGGACTCTTTCTGTCTCTTTATTCTTCCCCTCCACCCTCCATGTGGTGTCGAAACTATCTAGTTGAATCTTTGCAGTAAGCAAAGGAAATTAAACTGTAAAAGAGAAAACGTTTCAAAATCCTGATGCTAAATAGGACCTTTCATATGTCCTGAAGTCAAGTAAGGGTTGAACTATTCACAGGAGGTTTCTTATGAAACGTTTTCCTTACCTGGCTCTGACCTTTCCCCTCAAGTTCACCTTCCAATAAGATAAAGGGTGATCCTTAGAACCACAAATTCCATACGGCATTCTGGAGTGTGGCTCAGAGCCCTAGACTGGGCCTTTTTGGGGGTGACAAGCAGGCATATTTGTTGATTTTTCAGAGTGCCAATGAGTGTCTCTTAAAACAGACAAACTCCCAGGTACACATGTACAGACCTACATGAAGATACGTGGACACACACATGTCCACACAAACAACATCCCATCTGAAGACATGTTAACCTACAAAGGGAAAAAAGGCACACTTGATGTTCTTATAACCAGCCAGGCTGCTCTCTCACTGAGGAGTGAGTACCTCACATTAATTCAAGCTGTGTTGGTGTCTCCCTCCACCCCTTCTCCTGTGCTCTATGGGAGGGACGCAGAGCCAGGCTCTGTCCTGGGCCTACGATCTCCTAAAGGCCTCTCTCTTAGCGATATATCTAAGCCCTCCACAGAAGTGTTTAAATGGGTGCTGGTGAACCATTCCCTGCATTCTTAGGCAAGGACCATGCACCCTCTCCTCTGCTTTTGGTTGGGGGAGGGTTACAGTGTTTTCACTCTTGCCCTGAAGAATGGACTACCCGTGTCCTGGTAGTAGCCTTAAACTAGGTTACAGGGTTACTAGAGATTAGAAATTGCCAGGGGAATCACTGTGTCATTATGGATTGCCCTGATTGACAAAAGAACAATGTTGCTGGGAGTGAGAAAGACAGAGTGAGTACGTTCAGTAGCAGTCCCAGATGTGTGGGACTGGACATCTAGCAGAAAGAGTTGAGAAAACGATTCTAACAAAGGGAGAAAGGATATGTGGCTTACCTATTTATAGTTTCAGAGTTAATAAAAAAAATTGCTTTGGGAATATATAATTTCTAGACGTCAAGTAGCAGGTACTAGCTGACTTTCTAAAATTGGTTAACATAACCATCCGCAGGTTATAAGGTGAGGAGGAAATTAAACTGGAATAAAAAATAGTAATGCTACCCTAAATTTTATTTTGGGGTCTCCTTCCTCCCTCCCCCTACAGATTTTCTTTGGAGTTTTATGTAGCAGTTAACTTAATGCATGAACAAATTGTATTATGAGGGAGTAAATAAGTCAAAAACAGGTAGAATGCTATAGTAGAGGCCACATTAGAAGATGGGAGGGAGTTCTCACCTTTAGTCCCTTTTATTAATAGCATGTCCTGGGTTCAAGTGCATCACCTCTAAATCCCTAGGTGGCTGCTTTCAGGTCGCTTATAACCTAGCTGAGTAGTCAAGGCACATATATGTGAAGAGTTAAATAACTGGACATGTAGCTCAGAGAGAACCAAGGGAAATAATTGTTTTAATGTTTAATCTCAAACCTCGACCTCAGGTTTAAGACCTGTTTAAACCTCAGCCTTTGGAAGTGTCTGACATCGTCATGCTAGGCAATTGCTAAATAAAATAATCCTGGAATCCCTCTTACCAAAATTTTTCCATTTCTAATTTTTTAGCAAATCAATATGCTCCACCTCCATAGAGATGTGATTTATTATTATTTTTTTGGTTGGGGCTGGGTTTGAGCCCGCCACCTCTGGCATATGGGGCCAGTGCCCTACTCCTTTGAGCCACAGGTGCTACCCCAAGATGTGATTTATTAATTGTATTAATAGCAAACAATTTTTCTAAAAGGTATAATCTTATGTACATTCCAGAAGTTTAGAGGATAATAAGAAATAATCGTTGAGATCTTTTTTCCCTTCTAGCTTTAACATATAACATTGTAAGCTTCATATAACAAAATTTCAAAATTATATCCAACCATCTCTTTGCCTTGAAATTCCTTTTGCTTGTGTATCCAGAGTTGTAACTCAGTTACAACAGCAAAAAGGATTTTCAGAATTTACTGAGAGCCTCCCAGCGATTTGGTATCTTTATTCCTTGCCACAATCTAGTTCGATACCATTTTACCTCATGCATTTCCTTTATTTTATATAAGCGTATCCATATTGTGAAGTTTTGGTCAACAATGGATGGCATATGTAATAGTGGGCCCATGAAATCAGAATATCATATTTTTATTGTATCTTTTCTATGCTTAGATATGTTTAGATACACAATTACTTACCCACCGTGTTACAGTTGCCTACAGTACTCAGTACAGTAATGTGCCTATAGGTTTGTAACCATGTAGCTTAGGTGTGTAGTAGGCTGTGCCATGTAGGTTTGTGTAGGTATACTCTGTGATCTTTGCTCAATAACAAAATACCCTAACAACTCAATTTCTTAGAACATATCCATCCCCATTATTCAGCAACGCATGACTATATCTAGTTTTAAAATCATTTTACGGCAAGGCGGTCAAATTGCCAATCTCATTTGATTATGCAGGAGGAAGGGGGAATATTATTATGTTTCTCCTCATCTGTAAATTACAGAGCTTAACATCAATGAGCTTGACATTTTCTCTTTGTGTTGTAAGTCTACAAACCTAATAAAAAGGAGCCCATTCTTTTGAATTACAGAGCCCAGGACAAGGCAGCCATGCAGTTGAGTGAGTTGGAAGAGGAAATGGATCAGAGGATTCAGGCTGCAGAGCATAAGACACGGAAAGACGTATGTTTCTGGGGTTGGCCGTTCATTTAGCAGATCTTTATGAGGCACTTTTTATGCACTGGGCCCCAGACGTACCCCTGGGTGTCACGATGTGAGTACCGCCAGCTCAGGCTCCCACAGAGGCTTGTAGCAAGGGAATTTTTACTGGTGGCATTTTTAGGGGGTGGGGTAAGGATCAGCAGAGATAATAATCAAATATAGAAATAAAGCAGATAAATTCAGATAGTGACAAGTGCAGTAAAGAAGCAATGTGGATGACGATCAGTGACTGGGAGAGGAGGCTGCTGGGTTGGGGTGAGAGGCCTTGGTGAGGAAGGGTTGTAAGAGCTGAGGTTGAAGAAGGCAGAGCTCGCCTTCAGTAGAGAAGGTGGCTTAACTTACCCGTATCTGTCTCACTGCCCGTCTCTGCTGGAGGCTTTAAATGTAGATTACAGTGAAATTAAAATTCTGTCTTCTAACTTCATTGTTTTATAATGGAATATAGTTATCCCTCAGTATCCACAGAGGGTTTGTTTCAGGATCCCTCCCTCCTGGCCACACCAAAATCTGCATGCTCCCGTTCATATATAAATGGCATGATATTTGCCCCTAAACTATCACATCCTCCTGTATACTGTAAGTCATCTTTAGATTACTTGTAATACTTACTAAAATATAAATTCTATGTACATTATACTGTATCTCTTATTTGTACCATTTTTTATTTTAATATTTTCAATCCATTTGAATTCACAGATGTGCATCTCAGATATATGGAGGGTTAATCATATACCTGAAGTCAGCATTCTGGGAACCCCTCAGGGCTGAGAGTTGCAGCTACCTTTAGTGATTTTTATTGAAGATGTAATTATTTTTTTTCCTTAAAAAATATTTTTGGGTGATTAATACTCACTGAAAACAGAAAATAGATATATTTCTGTGAGTAGCTAATATTAGGTTAAGAATTCCGTTTTTATCCATTCGTGTGCCCTGTTAACACTGAAAAGCACTGAGATAGTAGGCACGTGGCCTGAGCAGTGCCATCCGGGAACCTCAGTTTGTATCCTGGCCCTGTCCTTACCTGGATGAGGTGGCACTGGACAGATAGCCCAACTCCTGTGCCTTGTTGTTCCATCTTTAAAAATGGAGAAATGCCACCTACCTGCTTAACAAGGACTCCCGTGGTGACTGGATACAGTGTCCATGATGTGATGGCGGCACCGTGACTCTCACTGTGCTTTCCTCTTGGTGGCTCTGTGTACCTTTGGTTCCTTTGCGATTCTTCATCTTCTATGGCTTTACCCTGTATTTGACCTTGGGTCTCTGTGTTGTCCTCTCTTTATAACAAGTCCAATTAAGCATTTAGACGTTATAATCAGCCGAGTGAATGGTTCAGGGTTCATAGTCCAGCTTTAGTACAATGGGTATCCCGTTCTTCTGCTAACGCTTTCCTCTTTATGGTCTAAAAACAGTAAAATTATTTTTTTTCTGCCTTGTTCCTCTTTATCCACTGTTTTTAATCCATTCGTTCATCAAATACTTATCAAGTACCTGTATTATTCTGGTAACCAGTCTCCTTGCGTCTAAATGCCTCCCAAGTTTGTGGCTGGTAATGGGGGTATAATCTTGGCCCCTACCCACAATAAATTCATGTTTTGTTAGTTATAGCATCTTCCTTGGGTTCTTTGGCTTTGGCCCTGGGGTGGCAAACTTGTGGCATCTGTGGCAACATTTCTCTATTCCACAGCAAGGGATATGCAGCCAGGCATTCACCACATCGATGTGGCCTCTGAGCCCTCAGCAGGCCAGCCCAGGACCTCACTAGGCTGGGCAGCTATGGCTCTGGGAGGAAGCCTCTTTGCCTACCTGTCCTGTTCTCCCTCACACCCTTCTGAACACGGTGTCTCTGGAATAACATGCTCAGGCCACTGGAAGATTGTCCCTTGTTTCCCTCTGGTCTACGTGACTCCCCTTGGCTCCCCACGGTTCTTCACCTCAAACTCTTGCCCGCTGCCCGAGACTCTGCTTTTGCTCCAGCTGTTCTCTCTGCCTTGGTGGTTGTCTCCCCACCCCTTTCCACTGTCCTAAATTCTGAAAAGTTCAGAGGAAGTCTTGGCTTCTCCTTGGTGCCCTCTCCTGGTCCTCTAGCCATATTCATCTCTTTCTGACCTTGACTCATGGGGTACATAAAGTGTATATTGTATTGTTTCAGCTACTTTTTTAAAAAATTGTAACAACTTTACAAAAATATAATCTTCATGTAATAAACTTCACACATTTAAAATACAGAATATGGTAATCTTAGACTCCTGTTACACACTGTGAAACCATCCCCACGAGCATGATCATGGACATAACCATCCACTGTAGAAGTTTCCTCGTGCCTCTCTGAAGGCATAACAAGCCTTTCTTCCTCCCTTCTTTGCCCCTCCTTGCTGGACAACCGCTGCTGTATTTTCTGTCAACATAGATTAGTTTCAGGTTTGTAGAATTGTATAGAAATGGAATTATGCACTATGCACTATTTCTGGTCGGGCTTCTTCCACTCCTCGTGATTATTTTGAGACTTATCCAGGTATTGATAGTTTATCCTTTTTTTCTACCACTGAGTAGTATTCCATTGTGTGGGTGAGACACAGTTTGTTTATTCATCTATTGAAGGACATTTGAGTTATTTCTAGTTTGGGGCTATTGCAAATTAAAGGGCTGTGAGTATTTATGTACAGGTCTTCATGTAGGCATACACTTTCATTTCTCTTGAGTAAGTTTCCAGAGGGGAATGGCTTGGTCAACTGTGTAGTATATGTTTATTTTTCTAAGACACGGCCAAGTTGACTTCCAGACTGGCTATGGCCTTGTACCTTTCCTTCAGCAGTATATGAGAATTCCAATCTTTGAGCATTCTGACAGCTGTGTAGAGGAATCTCGATGGGATTTTAACTTACATTTCTTTAATGACTAACAGTGTCAAGGATCTGTGTTTATTTGCCATGTATATATCTTCTTTGATGAGAAGTATCTTGTTAAAAGATATTTTTCTCATATTAAAAGTTAGGTTGTTTTTGAGTTCTGAGTTTTGCTGAATTCTTCATATATTCTCTATAAGTCCTTCATCAAATATCTGATCTATAAATATTTCCACCCAGACTATTACTGGTCTTTTCATTCTCCTAACAGTGTCTTTTGAAGAGTAGAAAATTTTAATTTTGATGAAGTTGAAATATATTATAGATTCCATTTTCTAGGTTGATGATAATATAGGAATAAAGTCAGACTTACTGTTCCTTCTGACCTGCATGATGTTTTTATTTTTCTTGACTTACTACACTGGCAAGTAGATTAGAGGTGGTGGAGAGGTCGTCCTGGTCTGCATTCCTCCTGTCTCTCACACATCTGCCCTTTGTTAAGTTGGGGAGGTTCCCTTCTGTTCCTAGTTTGCTGATGTTATTGTTGCTGCCGTTATTATTTTAATCAGGAATGGATTTTGGATTTTGCCAAATGCCTTTCCTGACTCTGTGGAAGGGATCTTTTCTTTTTTCTTTTTTAGATTATTAATATGGTGAATTGCATTGATTTTTTTGAATGTTAGAATGAACTCATACTTTTGAGATAAACCTAGTTTGAATTAATTTATCACTTTGGCATTAGCATTCATAAGAGATGTTGGTTTGTAATTTTCTTTTAATGCCTTTGATTTTGGTATCAGGCTAGTGCTAGTCTCATAGAATGAGTCGGGCTGTGTCCTTCCATTTCATTTTGCCAGAAGTTTATGAAGATTTGATCTGAACCATCACTATTTCTCACCTAAGTTACTGATATCTCAGCATCTAAATCTTGAAGTTTGGGAATGAAATAGCTGGTGATGGGCAGCGTGTGTGGCTCAGTGGGTAGGGCCCTATATATTGAGTGTGGCAGTTTCATACCCGGCCCCGGCCAAACTACAACAAAAAAAATAGCTGGGTGTTGTGGCGGGTGCTTGTAGTCTTAGCTACTCGGGAGGCTGAGGCAAGAGAATTGCCTAAGCCCAGGAGTTGGAGATTGCTGTGAGCTGTGATGCCGTGGCCCTCTACCGAGGGTGATAAAGTAAGACTCTGTCTCTACAAAAAAGAAATAAGCTTGTGATAAATTTCTTTATTGAGCTTTGCATGAAAGTTGTTATATTTGGGTTTGTGGCTGTTGATCCAGTGAGGAGACTTGCATCCATGTCCCTTCTAATGTCAGGAAGAGTCATTATTCCTCATTGGGAGGCCTGGTGTCTTCATCCACCTGTGAAGTGGGCAGTACTTGTGGCCTTACCTGTTAATCTGACTAAGTCAAGGTAGTCGCTTAATAAAAAAGAAAGAAAGAACAAAGTCTGGGCGCAGTGGCTCCTGCCTATAATCCTAGCACTTTGGGAGGCTGAGGCAGGAAGATTGCTTGAGGCTGGGAGTTTGAGAGCAGCCTAAGCAAGAATGAGACCTTGTCTTTACAAGAAATAGAAAAATTTTAGCTGGGTGTGGTGGTGCTTGCCTGTAATCCCAGCTACTTGGGAGGCTGAGAAAAGAGGATCACTTGAGCCTAGGATTTTGAGGTCTCAGTGAGCTGTGATGATGCCACTGCAAGCTAGTCTGGGTGACAGAGGAAGACCCTGTCTCCTAGAAAAAAAAAAAAAGTTACCTTTAAGGAAAATGTTGCTTTTCTACTAAGCATTACAGATGGATTATTTAATTTATATGGATTCTTCAATTTGCTTGGATTTTTACATTTAATCTTCACAATAATCTAATAAGAAAGTGGAGGTATAAAGAAATTAAGTAGCTTGTCCAGGCTCCACAGCCAATAAGTAGGCAGTGAGACCTTTTCACCCGGGCAGATATGTAGATGTGGGAACATGACATCTCTGCAGAGAGGCCCTATCGTACCCCCAACTGGCTTCCCAGCACATCTGCCTAGATTTTCTTTTTCCTCATATCATTTCCTGAAACTGTCTTTATTCCCTGTCCCCCACCAGAATGCCTGAGAGCATTGGTTTTTGTCGTCTCCTGCTCTGTCCCCATGTCCTCGGTGCCTGTGCCTAGAACTGTTGTTGGTATAGATAGGGTGTCGGCGAATATTTGTACACTGAATTTTACTGGCTAACAATATAAAACCATTTGAATACTGAACATAGGATATAAGAGATAAAAAGGAAATGTGGAGATGTTTCAGCCCATGAGAGCTTCTGAGTGGCTGCCCCCAGGTCTCCCAGGGTACCCTGTTGCTATTCTCTGCTTCAGAACTTAAAGGGACGCAATTGAGCAGCACCAGCCTTTGGGGAAGCACTTTGCGCAGAAATGTGCAGTGATTTGAATTCAGATGAGGCATAAGCTCTAGGATGAAGTGTGTACCCTCTGTGTCTGCTGATGTGATGGGCTATAGGCCAGCACTGGAGCCCTGTGCTTGGCCATAGCTTTTAAATAATTACAGCAATAAGTGTGTAATTAATTGCTGTGCTGTGGCCTCTGTCGCATGAGTGAGTCTCAGAGGCGGCACTCCCAGGCGAGGTGTGTATGAGGCTGTGGGTCTCGCGCTTCTTCCTCTTTGGTGGGTTTCCGCTGCAGCATCTGAGGTCACTGGTCCTCCTCCTGCCCTCCCTACTGAGGTCAGCCTCGGTTTGATGCGGAATGTTTCTCATCTGTGAGGGTTGGGAGTTGTTTAAGAGACTGAACCTATTTAAATCAGTACAATCTCTCTCTCTCTTTTTTCTTTTAGGAAAAACGCAAAGCCGAGGAAGCCCTCAGTGACCTCAGGCGTCAGTATGAAACTGAAGTGGGAGATCTGCAGGTGACCATCAAAAAGCTTAAAAAGGTAGGAAGGCGGTGCTAGACTTGACAAACAGCCTTGGTGTCGCCCAGTGTCTAAGCTACTGACAATGAAAAGTTTTGGGATCATAGGGCAGGTAGAATCAGAGTTCGGAGTCAGATGGCCTCCTTGGAAAGACTTTTTTTCTAAGGGTCTCTGAGTTCCTCTTGTGTTTTGTAGAGATCTGATAAATATCTCTGACCCCTTGAGTGGTTGTCATCAATCTCAGTTTGCTTCCTTAGTCTTCACAAGCCTGGTGTGCTCAGGTCCCCCTGTCCAGTGGACTGTCTGCTCCATGGGCCAGTGACATTGTCTTTCTTGGTCTTCCATCCCTTGGCCCCTGCCCCTAGCTTACTGCAAGGTGTGTGGGAGGTATCTGGCAGCTGTTTACTAAATGAAATGAATACAGCTGTTCTAAGTAGAAAGTTTCAGATCTCGGGGCCCCCTGATTAGCAAGAGGTGAGAAGGAGTTTATTGATGTATGAAAAAGTTGCAGTTGGGTTTGGCTTTTGCTGTATACTTGGTTTCTTATGAGTAGGGTCTGTTTCCCTCAGGGATGTGCCAGAAAGTGGCTCTGGAAGGGGAGAAGGAAGGGATTTGCAGTATTTGCTGATTTTCAGGGTATAAGTATTTCCATCATTTACTGATTTCAAGCTACCAAGTTGTTATCGCTAAATTCAGAGTTGAGAGGACTATAGACTAATCACCTGCTGGTACAGCTGGCTCCAGCACTGCGCCAGGCTTGCTTCTCACGTGTGAGTTGTTTCCATAATGAAAGGAAATGCCTTAGCTAAAATAAAAGCGAATAATTAAAAAATAATCACCCCTGAAAGTGGTAATGAGATTAAGCGACAATCAACTAAAACTTTTAAGCTATTGGAATTTAAACCTCTGGGATGATTTAAGAATTCTCCTCAATAGTCTTCCTGGAAAATGACCATCAATGTCAAACTTATATCTAATTTGCAAAAGTTATTGAACTGTACATACTATGCTTGGATTACAGAGTTGAGTGGACCAATCTCCTGTATATTCCAGAGCCACAGATTGTCCTAGTAACTGTCTTCACTTAATTTCTGTGACTTCCTGAATCTTTAGACAAAAAAAGACATGTGATTTCTTGCCCTTGTGCAGCATGTGGTGAAGACCAAATGTCTCAGCGCACTAAGAGAGGACATGAGTCAGAGTGAGGGAGTCTGAGTCCCTCTCAAGACTGTGCCAGTTTCTCCCTGTAACACCTGTCACAATTCCCTTTGTCTTGCTAATCTTCAGCTTCTCATATGTAAAAGTGGGGTTAATAATGAACTGTTCAGCCACAATAACTCATTATAATTTATTGACTTTTCACTATTAAGCTCTTTTTGATGATTTAAAAAATGGAATTGCCAAAGTGTCTTTGAGGAGGGCATAAATATCCTACCTCTAAAGGTAAGGACTGAGTTCTAGAGAAGTTAAATAACTAGTTAAAAGTCACATAGCTAATACCATATTCTGCTGCATATAATGGAAACATTTTGCCCAAATTTTTGAGGGAAAAATGAGGATACACATTATATATGGGTAGTCCTAATTCAGTATCTTTATGAATGTTTTGAATCCTTTTATTTATGCTTATGCTCTGAAAGTGTCACTCTAGAGACTGATTAACAATATTCGCATGCAAAATAATACCCTGGAGTACAGTAATTGGTTTTGTTGAACTTATGAGAGCGTGTAACAAAGTTGCCTTTTCAGCCAATGAAGAGCAGCGTATACTTTCTCTTCATATACCTAGCAATCCAGGTAGTATTTTTACAAAATTCTTTCATAATACAAAAAACAAGTAAGTATAAACAAACACAAATTTGAATTAAAAAATTAAAATGAAAGATTTTCTTTTCCCTGAAAGTTTGAGCCAGAACCATGGGAGTGCATGTTCTATACAGCAAATACGGTAACTGACCGAGTCCTCTAACTACATAGCTGGCTTTCTCACTTAGTCCAGACTTCCTCTTGCCCAGTGTGGTCATTATGCAGAACAGTATGGTAATTTATATGAAAGGCTATAAAGAACCAGAGAAAAATGTACAGATTTATTACTATTGCCATTAATTTATGTTGCTGATTCTGAGAAAATCATTTTTTCCCCACAATTTCTCTTGCTGAAGTCAGAATGCTCTTCTCAGTCTCCTGGCACGGTGTGTATGAACCTTCCCTTGGTACCACCTAGACAAGGGGAGAATATGCAGACTCAGAGTACTTAGCTTTGAGGAAGTTGGGGGTCCATCTTGATAATGCAGAGGCATTTTATGAATGAACACCCATAAATCCCACAGTTCCAGGGAATGCAAGTTAGTAGTTGGAAAGACATATTTTGTTCTTCATGTAACAGATGTTTCTGAACTGATTTAGGCTGGTAATTAATATGAAAGAGTCAGCATGCAAAACTCATGTGTGTGTTTATGTTAATGTGTGTGTGTGTGTTTAGCTTCATGTTACACCTAGATTTTATTGATTTTTATTATTTAATAAGCATTTCTTGAACTTACCATGAAGAAGACACAGGTGAATCTGACATGAGCTCTGCTTTAAAAAAATCTTATGCTCTAGGAGGAGCGATAAGACATTCCTAAGAAATTTTAATACTGAATAGAAAGTGTTGAGGATGGAGAATGTAAATATCCAGACTCACAGGCAGCGTGACTGAAAATGGCAAGGGCTGGGTTGTTTAATAGCTAAATGGATTCTGAAAAAAGCTTTTCAGTGGCTTCCAAGAAAATTTATTAAATAATAAAATCTTTCTTGAAATGTTTATTTAGGACAGACCTTTAAATTCTTAAGGATTTTATGTAGCTTAATGATTCATAAAGTCACATAATAGCGAAAATTGAAGACTTCTAGAATTCCCACGTCTATGTTCAAGGGTAGTCCTGAACTTAAAGTAATTCTAAGTGACTTTGTTTCTAAGTGCACAATTGTTATTTGCTTTTTCAGCTTGAAGAACAGTCAAAACACATAAGTCAAAAGGAAGATGTGGCAGCGTTGAAAAAGCAAATTCATGATTTATCGATGGTAAGAATTACATTTTCACTCACTGAAATGCACGAATCACCTTTTCGTTTATGGAAATGTACTTCCTGTTAGACTACATAATTGTGCTGTTATTTCAGGGTTCCAGGAGCAGCAGCTTATAGAGAAATTAATGCTATGGTGAGAGAAAGCCTTTAAAATACATTTAGCAAAGGTATTATTTAGTCAGGCTTTCCCCCTCAATGATATGCCACTTATTATACACGTTTCTATGTATTTTTTATTCAGAGTAGTAAAGACCTGGAGCTTGACTCAGCCTAACCCTGCGTTTCCCTTGCGTGGGCTGTGGTCTGTGCCCCTGCTTTTGTCAGAGGACGATGTCCGTGCCTGGCCCTCCCTCCAGCTTTTCCCTTTCTGTCCCTTTTATTCTTCTGCTGACCATATTTTTGCTTTTGCTCTTGACAAAATTGATAATACTCACATCTGTTCTGTAATCATAGTTTTCTTTATTTTTATTTTAGGTTAACTCGAAAATTTGAAAGCCAATAAAGAATGTATTTTTTAAGAGTTCTATTTTCTTTTTTTAAAGAGTTATTTGTTTTTTAACAATTCCGTTTTCTAAGACTGTAGACAAATATAGCTATCTAGTAAGAACATTTTCTTTTTCATGGTGCTATTAAATACTTTTATCACAGGGCCAGGAAATAAGCAAGGATTGCACCTTTCTTTCTCCTGTCATTATCCCTGTACACTTAAAGGAGCAGGTTCCCGGCTTCAATGTCGAATGAATTCCACTTACACAACGGCAGTTCCAGATGTTGGCGTATGTTAGTTGGTTTTGTATTTAGATCGTGACTTTCTCAGGGAGTTACCTGGTTTTCTTAGATTTTCTGGGTGAGATTTTGGTTTCCTATTGTAAAAAGTTATCATTGATACTTTGACTTCTTACTGAGTCTTCCTGATACATGAAATTTATTTTAATTTTGCTTCTGGAATATACAATTCTTACTGGACTGATTGTTTTTTAAACTTACACCAGTATGTTATCCCGGATTTTTTTTCCACTGGGTCCTTTGTTGAATTGCAGCGCTTTGCTCATTGTAGTTTTTCCTCCTTTGGGTTTTCATCCTCATTTTGCTGTAGAACATCTTCAAAGAATTTCTTCAGAAAGGTACATGAGAGAGAAATGGTCTCAGTTTTTGAATAGTTGAGTATGTCTATTCCCCTCACGATGTGTTGCGTTTGTCTAGATAAATAGGCTTTCCTGGGACTCCTCTGGGATTTATTTATCCAGATCTTTCTAGCTGCATTTCTCCTCTCCCCTCCCCCGCCCCAAATACCTGGCAATCCTTGGTGGTCTGTACATATTTTAAAGTAAAGGATTAGCTTTATTTTAGGTGGCTGATGTAGGAGTCTTGTGTTTCTGGATAACAGTCATTTACCTCAAAGCCTTTTTCATTAGAGGGTGTCTTCCTAGGAGCTTTTTCAGACTGCCTGATCCCAGTCACCAGAATGAACAAAGAAGGGATATTCAGAGAGAAGGATTAGCTTTCCTTGTAGAGTCATTCATTTTTTGAAAGACAGTCTCTGTCTTATTGCCGTTGGGATCCAGTCTATCTGTTGTTTGCTAGGGTGAGGGAGGGAGGGATGGATTCGGGGCGGGCTGCCTTGATTTGATATACATTCTTAATCTCCGTTTCCAGCCCCACGTCTCATGCCCTCTTTCTGGCCGCTTGCCTCCTCTGTGTTCTACATCAGGACCTTCAACACACGTCTTTGGGATTTTTGTTCCCCCACTTCCTTCCCTAGGAAAGGAAGTGCATTAGCTTTCAGTTTCCATTTTCCAAAAATGTGTTTAAGTCACTTGAATGCTCCTGGGCCACTCTTTCATTCTTCTAACTGTTATAGCTAACTTCTATCTTCTAACTGTTACACTTTCTCTCTTTTGGTATTTCTTGTGAATGGGGTTTTAGAAGAAAAAAAAAGACAATTATGTTCTTAGTCCACCATCTCAAGGGGAAACATCTATTTTTTTTTAGTAAAAGTATAGAAATTTCCTAATCACGCTTATTTTTTTTTTTTTTTTTTTTTGAGACAGAGCCTCAAGCTGTTCCCCTGGGTAGAGTGCCATGGCATTACAGCTCACAGCAACCTCCAACTCCTGGGCTCAAGCGAGTCTCCTGCCTCTGCCTCCCAAGTAGCTGGGACCACAGGCGCCTGCCACAACGCCTGGCTATTTTTTGGTTGCAGCCGTCATTGTTGTTTGGTGGGTCCAGGCTGGGGATTCGAACCCACCACCTTAGGTGTACGTGGCTGGCGCCTTAGCCAGTTGAGCTATAGGCGCCGAGCCTAATCACGCTTATTTTTAAGTGCAAATTTAAAATTGTTAAGTGATAAAATTTACTGTAAAAAGTAGTCAGTGTACCTGGTAATAGGTACAGTTTATTCTACAGAATGTTTACCGGTGGTTCACAACTCTCATTGAGTAAGGAAGGTATTCAGATGTTTGATGTTAGTTAATTTGCCAGTAACATGTGAAAATACATCATTATACAGTTTTGACTACTGTGGTCTGGTACCAAGTGCCAAGCATTAAAAAATGAAGAACAATTTTGAGGATTTAGATTTTTAATACTGGCCAGGCGTGCTGGTTCATGCCTATAATCCTATCACTCTGGGAGGCCAAGGCAGGTGGATCTCCTGAGCTCAGGAGTTCAAGACCAGCCTGAGCAAGAGGGAGAGTCCATCACTATTAAAAATAGAAAAAGGAGCCAGGCATTGTGGCAGGTGCCTGTAGTCCCAGCTACTCAGGAGGCTGAGGCAAGAAGATCTCTCGAACTCAGGAGTTTGAGGTTGCTGTGAGCTATGACATCATGGCACTCTACTCAAGGTGACAGAGTGAGCCTGTGTCTCCAAAAATACATATATGTGTGTATATATATATATATATATATAGTGTGTGTGTGTATATATATATATATATATGTATAGTACTTTATTTGTAATAATTTCAAATTACCTTGCCACGACAGTTTGTTCTTTGAATACCAGAATGTGAAGAAGTGGTGGGAGGGCGCGGGAGAGGGTCACCTGCACTTAGCTTCATTCCTCCCAGGAGGAGGAAGCTGAAGCTCTGTCCCCCCTCATCTGATGTGTCGCTTTTCTCTAGGAAAATCAGAAAGTTAAGAAAGATCTTTTAGAAGCACAGACAAACATCGCTTTTCTTCAGAGTGAATTAGATGCTTTGAAAAGTGATTATGCTGATCAGAGTCTGAATTCTGAAAGGTAAGAAACTTTGTATTTTATTTTTTAGTTGGAGTGGAACGTTCATTAGATGATTATTCAGGCAGATGGAGCTTGGCTATGTAGTAAAAATGGGTTAGGTGTTAATTTTGCTAATATGTTTTTCCTTTCTGATTAATTACTTTTATAATACTTTCATTGTCAGATGTTCTAATGCTTTTCAGTTTTATTTTTTTTTTAGGCGAACAGATTAATTAATTATCGGCTGCTTGGAACAGCCAATAATTAAATGTCAAACAAATGTTAAACTGGGAGCTAGAAGAATATACATACAGTGCCTGCTAAAATGCTTTCTGGGTGGGAATCCTGGCCATAAAACTTAAGAAAGGGAAAAGTGGACCGGTTAGGCAAGTCATTTTATTTTTCTGGGTGTTAGTTTTGCACTGTGGTATTAATAACATAAGACCTAATGTGCTCACACACTCATATACACTCAGAGATGTGTATTTATATATAAAGGATACAGATGTGGATATTTATATAAGTACATGTAAATATAAATGTATAGATATTTGTATACATATGTAACCCCTAGGGCGTGTACCCTTGGGAAAAATATCTTACTCTTTATTTACAAGCTTTAATCAGAATTAAGGTTGTAATGGAAAACAGTGAAACATTTACTAAATACTTACTGTACAGATAGGTCTCTGAGCTAGCTCAGGAGCTCTGAGTGTAGAGTAGGCAAAAAAGAAAAGATGTGGTCTCTGCTATTTGAATTCTTCAGTTTAGTTCAGATAAAAAGCAAAAGAGATGATGGAGTAAAGCTGTAGTTCTCACCCTTCCTGATGCCGTGGCCCTTTAATACAGTTCCTCTGGGTTGCGACCCACAGGTTGAGAACTGCCGGAGTAAAGCATCGTAAGAGCAATCTCAGAAGCAATATCACTACCAGGGTCGTGGTTTGGGTTAATTGCTGTGTGATCACAGAAAAAGTTTTTAGTTTAGAAAAAATGCAGAACTTTATAAAAAGGAGATGGTAGAGGTGCACTCAGGTGGAGGGGTAGGTTTGTGCTGGTGGAAGGAGGAAGAGGCAGCAGGGATGCCGCCTCAGAGCCCGTGGCACTGGCCCTCTGCTAGGCTCTGTCCTCGGTACTAACTCATTCAATCCCTAGAGCACCCCATGGGATAGGGACTTTTGTTATGTCTATTGTGCAGATGGGAAAAGAGAGTCCCAGAGATGTGCCAGGCAAGGCAAGTACCAAAGCAGGGCAGGGACATAAGAAGGGTAAGTCTAGCATGGGGAATGGTGGTCAGGCCACTGGTTGGAAAGAAATATTTAGGACCGAAAATCAAAAAGATGAAAAAAACTAAAAACTCTTAAAGCTCATTTAAGGCTGTAGTGTAGGGGCCCAGAATTTGGGGCTAAAGAATGTAATGCTTATAGACAGTTAGGGAAATGTCTGCTTTATCATCTACAGAGCAAATGGGAAGGATATTGTAGACAAAACTCTTTAGCCTGAGAGTTTGGGGTGCCAGTGATGGTGTTTGTATACTAAGGGGGAATTGTAGGCTGGAGTTGAGTTGCAAGTGCTCAGAGTGTGTGTTTTGAGGAGGGCCCCAGGGCTTCTGTAATAAAGCAACAGAGGATGGCTGGGTGTTTCTAGTGAGCCTAGCAAGCGGGGTTCTGTGAGTGTCTCTGTGGCTTTGGGTAAGGCGAGGCGGGAGAGCAGGAGTAGGTTTGAGGTTGAGAGGGGGGAAGGAATCACAGGGAAGGAGAAAACAGATGGAATTGGAATTGCATAAGGCTTGGAATGAGCAGAGAATGTTCAGAGGATTGAGAGGGGCTGAGGAGAAGGGAGCTGGTCAGGGGTTCAGTCCCCATGGAGAACAGAGCCAGGTCAGCAGGGATGGGGATGGAAGAGCTGGCGGGTGCCCAGGTGCAACTGAGGAGGAGAAGCACCGGGTTTCCAGTGTCAGAGGTGGGGCAGATGCTGCCTGGGGAAGCCCAGTCTGTGAGTGTGTCTGCGGAGTTGCAAAAGGGGAGGAGGTGGCTGCGGCCACAGAGGCCTGGAGAGGATAGAAAATCGTGGCCAAGGACACTCGTCTTTGAAAAAGGCGGAAAAGGTTCTGGAGGGCGGGTCTAGGTAAGGCAGACCTTGGTATCTAATCCTCTTTCAAACATAAAATATAATTTTACAGAGACCTGGAAATAATCCGAGAGTACACAGAAGATCGAAATAGTCTTGAGAGGCAAATCGAAATACTCCAGTAAGTTCTCAAATCAAATACTTGTCACATTTACATTTTACTTATTCCCTGTTACTAAAACACACGCCGCCTAGAATGCGAGTGCCGTGTTCTTAAGACCGGGTTCGCAGGTCAGGGTGTGTTTCTGCCCAAGGCAGTGCCCTTGGTGTATGGCTTAGCTTTCTGCTGCTTCTAATCCCAAATAAATTATTCAAATGCGGGGAATAGAGGATAATTCTCCAAAGCTCCTGACAAGTCAGGGGATTTGTCCCACGTGTCTCTTTTGAACCTCTGTAGAGAAGAACAGCCTTGACCCCTTGGCTTTCTCTGAGCTCTATACCAAGTTTGTTGGGCTTCTCACCTTAACAAGGTCCATACAACTGGGCCTACGTAATCATTCCTTCTCAATTTATTGTGCTTGGCTATGGTATATTTTTTTTTAGGTTTTTTTTTTTTTCTCCTTAAGTGAAAGTATATTATACTTGCTCTGTTAGCTTCATAACTAAGTTGCAATAATTTCATCCTCCCAGGGTCTTGCCCGTAAACCTTCCCTTCTCCCTTCCCCTTTCTTTCTTTTCTAACCCCTGCAGTATTTTATTCTGCTTTTAGTTCTCCCAAATGAAGTAAAATTAGGTTTAACCAGTTTGTTTTAATTACCATTTTTAAATGCTTATTAAGTCTCACCCGTGGTGATGACAGAATTCCTCTATTATGATAATCCTTTGAGTTCATTCATTCATTAAACAGATTTTTAGCACCTTTCATAGGTCTCTGTCCTTTGGGGGCTAGTCTGGGGGAAGAAGACAGGAGCTGACCCATAATCATAGACATAAATATGAAATGCCAAGTGGGAGTGGTGCAGAGAGGTCATGTCTCCTGAGGGGAGCTTTGGCCTGTCTTAAAAGGTCAAGGAAGTGTTCCTAGAGGAAGTGAGGACTGAGCTGACATGTGAAGGATGAACTGGGCATCCGAGGGGAAGAGCAGTCACTCTGTGAGAGAGGGCCCTGTTATCATCCTCATTTTATCTGAAGGAGCAATGATGCTCTAACAGCATCAGATGGAAATAAGCACCCGAGTTAGGATTCTAACCCAGATCTGACTGTGGTTATCATCTGCCCCTTTACCTGGTACACGATGGTGCACCAGGCCTTGGGTAGGATGCCAGGGGCATGAGGGCTGATAGAACACATGGTGTCCGTTCCTGGCCCTGGGGAGTGTGGACTGGCTGGCTGAGTTCAGGCATTTAGAGAACAGAGTCCTGCCTCAAACCTGTCCAAACCAGGGAGCTGCCTGCAGGAGGAGTGCATTCCACACCATAGTTAATTCATTCTAAAATGCCCCTAGACCTTTAAAGAACAATTAAGTCATCAATTAAGTTGTTGCAGTTGGAATAGTGAACTGTGATCTCAGTTTATCACCTTTCAAGGGAAGTGGGAGAAAGTTGCAAAAGGTAATGTTATTCCACATTCTGAATGTTACAGCCTGAAAAGACTCCCCCCACTAACACATTCCTTGTACACCTCTTTGTCTGTTTCTTCACCCTGCAGAACGGCTAACCGGAAGCTTCATGACAGTAACGATGGCCTTAGGAGTGCCCTCGAAAACAGTTACAGCAAGTTCAACAGATCCTTGGTAGGCCATGTGATTTTATAATGTCTTTCGTTCTTTCTCGTGGTAGAGTATTTTAAAGGTGATGAAAATCATGTAATTTCTTAGAGAACGTCATGTAGATCCTCTTAATAATGAAAACCTCTTTCCTTCAAATAAAAAGAGGCCACGTTTTTCCAAATTAAAAAAATATGCTACTCCTCTGCAGGAATAAATGCCTTGCTGTTAACCAACTCTCTGGTAGATGTTCTAGGAAACTAGAGAAAGACATAAAATATGCAAGCCTTGCCCTGGGAGAGTTTGTAATGTAGGAAGTCAAGGCGTGCACAGATAAACAGCAATAATATAACAGAAAATGGAAAATCCCATGGAGGTAAAAATAAAACCTTGCCCAATGGAGAAGAAGGAATGGGTGCTGTGGCTAAAGGGGGAATTTAGACCCATTGAGTATTCTTCATGATAGGGAGATCACCAGAATGGGGCTTTGGATTTCCAGTCCTTCTACGGAAACAAGATAAGTCCCACTGGGAATTTTGAAGACTTTCCCCAGACTGCATTTGTCATAAAGCACCTTATCCCACTTTGGGGATCAGCGTCCAGTGCCATGTTTGGATGGGAAGAGTCCATCACTGAGCCAAAAGACAGTTCATGAGGAGGCAAATCCAAGGAAGTGGGTGTTGTAGCATCTCGGCAAATTGGGGAACCAGAATACTCATTTATGGAGTATGCAGTAGGCTCTAGAATTAAGAGAGGACGAAGAGAAGAGCGTCCTGTCGTCAGTTATCTTTCTTGCAGCTTTTCCCTGTGATTTTCATGCTCACATCTGCTCCTGTAGTAGGCTAAACTTTTAGTTACGTTAGAAGTTACATAGTATGCCACAGTTAAAAAAATAAAGTGTGTATGTATGTGTGTGTGAACACTCATGCACCTATGTATATATAAAATGATAAAATGTTTCCCCGAACTGACAAATAAATAACTTATATATTACAGCGCATAAATAATGTATCACCAGGGAATACAATTAGTAGAAGCAGTCCCAGATTCAATGGTCATTCTCTGCAAACTCTGGGCTATGACAGGTATGTTCCACCTGCTTGCTTTGTTTGACTTCTGGATCAAAGTTACCAGGAAAGTAAATTTTCTTAGTGGTGAACCAGAAGAATAGACTATATGTCGGTCACCAATTTCTATGGTCTTAAAGTTCTGAAATGCTAACCATGTAAAAATCGAAAGTAAAAATGTTTCAGGAAGGACAAAGGTATTTCCGTAAGGTGTTATGCCTTAGTTTTATGTTTGGTCACCATCACCTCATTCCTCACTTGTGTCTTGTTTCTTGGAGGGGGAATCTGTAAGAGATGTTTCGGGGAAACCAGCGGAATTGATGGCGTATGATGATGTAGTACCTGTGTAGAAGTTGTTGAGACGATTGCCAGGACCTGTAAATGTTGAATAGCTCAGCATAATGTTACGTAAGCTCGCTGCGGAAAAGGAAACTGTCAAGACAAATAGAAGTATGGCTAGTGGGTGCTTATAAACTACTGTATTCAAAGAGTCCGAGAGGCTCACCAACAGTTAGAATTTAGGCCTATTTTAGTCAAGTGAACTACGATAGTGGGCCTGTTACTACTTTAGACCTAGTAATAAATGCTGAAGGATCACATGTGTGTATATATACATGTGTTCAGTGTTGCTAGTTAATTTTGTAGTATGTCAAAATTTGAAGGTAAAAGTAAAGGCATGAACTCTCAAGGTTTTCACCTCTCCATTTCTTAGTGACTTTCTGAATCACGTTCGTCCCCCTTTCCATTTGGGTAGTTTTGGTAAAGAGAACAATGTAATACCTATACCTTGATGATAGCAAATGGTCCAGCTGCCATTCAGGAAAACCTGTATTGTCCAGGCTTATTGGTGACCACATCTAAGAAAATTCTATCTAGGTAGAAAATGTTTTTATTTTTCATGTAGTTGTTATATAATTTTTAATGGCTTATTGATAGGCAGTTGACTGTTACATCATGGAGGAATACAGCTTTTTTTAGTAATGTGTAGGTATGATGCCATTTTTCTTGGCTGGCATTTAAGATCCATTCTAACCAAATGGGGAGAATGGCATATAACTGAAAATCATTTCAGAAATTTGGCCAGGATTCATTTTGAAGACTAGACACCATAAAATTGTTCATTAGTAATGTACTAAAAGCTCCTTGACAAAGGTTCTAAGGAACAAGGTCATCACACCACTTGCCCCTCCAAGTGACAGGAACATAGCACTCAGGTGCCCAACTCAAGCTATTACCAGAGGCTGCTGTGGCATGGACCCATGTTCTTTCTAGAGAGAATTAATTTGATATTAGACTTTAACCTTTTTCTTCTTAATGCTAGTATAAAAGCTTAATAAAGGCATGTTATACATTTAATTTTATTGTTTGGGGGAGGTAGTCGATTTAATATGTACATTTTTATTTATAATCAAATTATGCTTTATTTAATTTATTTTTATTTTTTTATGCTTGATTTTAATGTATAAACTTGGCTTTGTGGTTTTTTGGTAAGAACTCTGACCAAAAATATAACTTGTTTCATATTTTTACATAGTTAATTACAATGCAAACATTCTTAGGGCAAGTAAAAATGGTTTACTTTGTAAAGGATATATATTTCAGTTAGTTTGAAAGTGTTTGATCTGTACCTATATTTTAATTTAAAGTCTAGACATTCATGGAAGTGATCCCTCAACTTGGGATTTCACTACTTTGCTTTTTATCAAAAAGACAAATAGGTCAAAAAGAATTCTGCCTAGTAATGAGTCTCCTATCATTGTACTTGCCTTTCCCATTTAGGTTTTCAGCATCTTCCCCTTCTTTATATGGAGACAGAGTCTCTATTTCCCTGGGTAGTGTGCAGTGGTGTTACCATCATAGCTCACTGCAACCTCAAACTCCTAGGCTCAAGCAAACCTCTTGTTTCAGCCTCCTGAGCAGCTGGGGCTATACGTGCATACCACTGCACCCAGCTAATTTTTCTATTTTTAATAGAGACAGAGTCTCACTCTTGCTCAGGCTGGTCTTAAACTCTTTGAGTTCAAGTGATCCTCCTGCTTTGGCCCCCCTGAGTGCTGGGATTACATCATGAGCCTCCTCATGGCCAGCATCCTTTTTTAGTGAGGTCTTATCCAGAAATGGACATATTATTCCCAACCTGGTTTGGCCACATTAAAGTAAAAAGGGTCCCATGTTCTATGTATAGTCCAGTCACACAACTTGGAATTTGCATTTAGGTCTTGGGCAGGCTAACTTTTTTTGCATCTGGAAGTAAAGAAGGTGATAGGAAAAACAGCTTAATTTATTAAATGTTCGATTTGAGGGTCTTTGTCTTAATTGATTGTTGTTACATAAAATGAACCCGTATGGCTTTGAACATTTTGTTTCTCCCGATGCTTAATCATGAAATATGTTGCGGTTATTGGCAAAAGTGAGAACGTCGGCATCCTTGGCTCCACGTAATAGCTTATGGTCTATTGCCTGTGTGTGTGTGTGTGTGTGTGTGTGTTTAACTATTGCCTGTGCATTTTTGAGCATTGCCACCACTCAGGTAAAGTGATCTCCTTTCTTACCAGGTCATCTCGCTCTTCCTATGTGGATGAGGACTGTGACTCCTTGGCCCTCTGTGATCCTATGCAGAGGATGAATTGTGAAGTTGACAGCCTGCCTGAGAGCTGCTTCGACAGTGGCTTGTCTACCCTGAGGGATTCCAATGAGTATGACTCGGAGGTGGAGTACAAGCTCCAGAGGGGATTTCAGAGGACACACAGGGCTCAGGAGAGCTTTGGAGGTGATGCTTCGGACACAGATGTAAGCCCCAGAAACCACTGCTCTCCCAGGCCTTATGTTTGATTGAAATATGTTACTGGATTTGCCCTTTTTCTTCATAGAAATCCAGCTTAAAGGTCATATATATGAAGCATACGCAGAAGAATATTTTTCTCCTCCACCCAGTTAGAGAGAAGTTCTCATAGATCGCCATTCAGGGCCACTCTTTCCATGACAGCATCAACCATAGATTCAGCTGCATATTTTTCTTCTTTTTCATCTGTAATTTACTCGTATGTGTATATGTATAATGAGGGACTTTGGTTTTTAAACTGCTGACTTTTTTTAAAAAATAGGTTCCTGATATAAGGGATGAAGAAACATACGGTTCGGAAGGTGTGGCTTCTGTCTTAGACTGGAAGCCCCAAGGCTTTGTTAGTGAAGGCAGCATTGTGAGTTCATCGAGAAAGCCCATCTCCGCACTTTCCCCCCAGGTAGGTGGTTTCTGAGACAGTCTTATTCATGAACACTGATGATTTTCTGCGCCATGTTACTGCCTTGATCACCCACTGCGGCTTTTTTCCCCAGACAGACCTAGAGGATGACAGCCATAAATCTTCCAGCTCGCAGAAGGCTTACAAGATTGTGCTTGCCGGGGACGCTGCAGTGGGGAAGTCTAGTTTCCTCATGCGACTTTGCAAGAATGAATTTCGAGGAAATACAAGCGCCACCCTGGGTATGGCTCCTCTGTTGTTAAAAGTGCAAAAATGACCCTTCTTGGCTTGGTGTTTTTTCCCTTGGGGTTATAGACGCAGATTAGACACAGATGCACACATCTCCCTCTTTTTCTTTCTCTCCGTGTGTACATACACGTTTATAGACATGTGCATGTTTGTGTCTCTCATTGACTGCGGAATGGTCCTTCTCTATTGTGGCTGAGGCTCAACTGTCGGAGAAGAAGACTGACAAAGTACAGAGCTGTCTGCTTAGCCAGTCGGATGAACTAGACCAAGTTTAGAACCTAAGGTGTCAGATTCAGCTAGTCAGCTTGTATTTCCTTAGTCCTCTAAGAGCTAAAGACAATTAAAGGTGCTAAGAATAAACATGAAAGCCAGCTAACTCCCAGCCTGCAGGGAATTTACATCCCAGTGGAGGGGAAGGCACAAAAAACAATGTAATAAATTGGAATTTGGGGAGAGGTAGAGTTTTACACAGGGTGACCAGGGGAAAGCCCTTTTGGTAAGATGTCATTTGATGTCTATAAAGTGACAAACAATATTGATGGCCCATTTGTCACTGTGTTCAGAATCAGAGCCAGATGTATGTTCCCTTCCCACCTTCACAATCGAACAATAGAATTAGTAGTTCCCTGATTTCCCAAATTTGCATATCAGCAGTAGGAGTTGAATATATGAAAATTATCATTTTTTTCTTCTACTTCTAAAGCGTTCTTACTATGATAACCAGAACTAGAACTGATTGATTGTGCTCTTCACAGTGGGTGTCTTTGTAAACTTAAGGTTTTCTGATGTATTCTTAAAGATAACTGTGGGTGGACATGTGGGTACGTACCTAAAGGAAGAGTCATCTCTTAGTGTGCTTACATTGCTAGAAATATTAATTTAATAAATTTAAAATTAGTTCTTAATTATTTATTATGAATAGGTTAAAAATTAATTAAGAAAATAGTTACAAATGATGGACAAAAGGAAACAGAGCCAGGAGAGAAGAAGATCAGGGAAGCCCCAAATCTCTTACAAAGCGACAGCCCACCAGCCTGACATTTTCAAGCAGACTGTCTGGCCAGAGTGTCTCCCCTCCCCAGCGCACTCAGCTCCAAAGTCTCTGAACACTGAACGGCCAGGCTCACACAGGTGGGACTGCTCTCTCCCAGGGAGTGAACAGCGGGGTGGTTAGATTTATGAGAAAAGGAGAAAGGCGCTAAAAACAACAGGAACACTTAGATCTCAGGGAGAGAAAAAGTCTCTCTGGGAGGTAAGGGGAAAGTGCCCCTCCCCTCTCATTTCTTGATGTGACCCTTGTGAGCACCCCCACTACTCACAAGACTTCCCAGAAACTTAATTACTCAACTTGAGATTCCTGTGCGCAGTCACATTGGTGTCATGCTCCTGTCCCAGGCTCTATTTAGGTTAAAATCAAAAACAACTTAGAGTGATAAAAATAAAAAAAATCAGTACAATTAAGATAGGTAAAATATAGTTTGATTAGAAAACACAAACCCAACACAAACTGTAACATAGGGTTTAGCCTCCCTCATTTAATATATGTCATAACAACAGAAGTAGCCCAGAGCAAGAGGCTGCCAGCAGGCCTCGCACTTGAAGGCCTCGCACCCTGACCCAGCTCTTTAAAAAAACTTACTCTTTATGTCTTGACTATTCATTTTCCTCATCTTCTCATCTCTGCCAGTCACTGGGAGAGAACGCAATAAATTTAGGGCTGGTCCCCAACAGTAACAAAGCTGAAAGTTCACTTCAATTTGATTCATAAAAAGACTAAAGTATTTGGTTTGGTTGGTGAAGACCATGGTGCATGTGTATATATATATGTGTGTGTGTGTGTGTGTGTGTGCACGCGTGCACCCACATTTATTTATACATACTAATACATTCACACACATCCCTTCATATACATACACACATACAGATACATATACCTACAGATACATACACACATAGACTCCTAACACATATATACACAAACACTTTCACACACATATACACACGCACATTCATACATGCCCAGTCATATACACATGTACACACACACGCAAATATGACTGACTTCATCTAATCATCTGAGAAAACTGAACATAGACCTTCTTCCTTTAAACGCTTCCCCAAGTCAGCCAACCTGCAGACGGTGCATCTGCACGCGCCTGTGTGGTCTAACTTAGAATTAGTATCTGAAGGTCAGGCTCCTTAAAGGCCATGTCCGTTCCTTTCTACCTCACTGAGCTTTGGCTTATTGGCTTTCCCCTCATCTAAACAGGGCTTGAAAGTAAAAAGCCAATGGAATTATTTCAGTCACGTTCCCATCCGCGTGTTCTTTTGCAGGAGTTGATTTCCAAATGAAAACCCTCATTGTAGATGGAGAGCGGACGGTCCTGCAGCTCTGGGACACGGCTGGTCAGGAGAGGCAAGTGCTTCGCATAGACGAGAATTGCAGGAGACTCGATGCTCTCTACACTCGTAATTCTATGATTGTGACATACTTTATCATTATACAGATAACTATAACTTTAAGAATGTTTGTTTTCCCACATTCTCTCCTCCCTTGTTATCTGTGGGTTGTGTGAGAACAGGGCCTTTAAGCTTCCTTTCAGCTGCTGTTTGCTTGGGACCAAGGGCATGCCCTTTCCTACATGAGAGGCGACATTCCCAAATGCACTGACAGTGTAAGGAGCCGCTTGGTTGTGGAATAATAAATGATGGTCAGCTCTCTTTGGTTCAAGGGCAGAGGCACCAAGACCTAATCTTGTGATGGTTCTTTATCTAACATAACATTGCCGATACGCAGAGCATAAAGCATAGGTTTTGATTTCGTCTAACTCTGTGGGGACAGCACCTATTCGACTGTTTAACAAATGAGTATGAGGTGCCTGCGTCTGTACCGGGCACTATTTAAAACGGTAGGATTCAGTGGAGCACAGACACAGATACCTGCCTGCATGGAGCTCCTATTCTTTAGCAGCCTGGGAGTTGCAACATGTCAATTGTGGTTGACCCGGCCCTATTTAAAATACTCACGTGGTCTTGCACTTGGTCTAGAGATCTGATGTGTGCTCTGAGGCATGCTTCTGCCCCGGGGAATCCTCGACCTCCACGTAGGCAAAGCTTCTGGCCTGCGGGCATTCTTCACTGTCCGTCCTTCCACCCACACACAACACTGCCTTCCCATCTCCCCAGAATGTTTCTCTCTAGCGTATACCTCCTTCTGGCCTCCTCTGCATCCCCCCGTGGAGGATCTTAGTAGTTTGTTGTTGAGATTGAAATTTTTAGAAATTACCCTCTCAACCTTGTCTGGGTTATGCTTTGGGGTGTGCAGACATTCTTGGGATTGTTTGATAGAGAAAACGAATGGCTTTTCTAAATCAGTCCCCCAGATTCTCATCCTGTTACCTTTCACTGGGTCCTTGGCAGCCTTGGTGGAGATGGCTGTGTCACAATAATGTGCTAGATTCTTCTCGATTGGGGCTGGTTTTAGAAGATGAGGGGGAAAATGAGCATAAAAGAGAAGAAGGATGAGGCAGCACAAAGTGACGAATTATTTTCTCTTTCCCAGATTCAGAAGCATCGCCAAGTCTTACTTCCGAAGAGCAGATGGCGTTTTGCTGCTGTATGACGTGACGTGTGAGAAAAGCTTCCTCAACGTTCGAGAATGGGTGGATATGATTGAGGTAAGACGTCAAGATGGAGAAAAAGGAACCGCACGCAGGAGTTCCAGGCCGTCTGGGAAAATGCTCTGGCTCTTTGCTGTCAGAGGGAACTTGATCAGAAACCACTGACACAGGGGCTTCTCCCGTCGGGCAGAATGGGAGGCTGGTGGCAGAATTGGCAGCACTGGCCCCTTCCTCAGGAGTTGGGCAAGTTTCCCCGAAGCCAAGGACACGATAGAAGGGAACTTCTGGGAATAAAGCTTCTGGGTTTTCGTACAGATAAAATCAAAACCCCATGTAAGCCAATCAAACGTAGGTGACCTTAGAAGCAGCAGCTCTTACGAACAAGGCGGTGGTGAGGTCTGGTGTGTAGTATGGTCAGCTGTGTGTGAGAAGCCCAGGGAAACGCCATCTGGGTGTGAGATGTGCTGAAGTCCATGTTCTGTGGCATCCGTCTTCTCAGCCTCTTTCTAGGTGTGGTTTGGGGGTTCTTTAGATGCGGCAGGGCACTCCTTGGGATTTTAGACATGTAGGGTAGAGTCTGTTCTTTCTTTGGTTAAATGGGATGGTGTCTTTCATCTGGAGACCTTTGATATCCTCTGGTTTCATAGTAACTAATTTTTATTTTATTTATTTATTTGTTTGTTTATTTGAGACAGAGTCTCACTTTGTCTCTCTTGGCATCACAGCTCACAGCAACTTCAGACTCTTGGGCCCAAGTGATTCTCTTGTCTCAACCTCCCAAGTAGCTGGGACTACAGGTTCTCGCCACAGCGCCCAGCTCTTTTTTTTTTTTTTTTAGAGATGATGTCTCGCTCTGGCTCAGGCTGGTCTGGAACCTGTGAGCTCAGGCAGCCTGGCCTCCCAGAGTGCTAGGATTACAGGCATGAGCCACCACATCCAGCTGGTAAATAATTTTTAAAAGTAGGAAATGACCTTGGCTACATTTAGCATGCTGTCAACATTTATTCATCCACATAACACTACCAAGCTATGGTCAGCATAGCCTATTGAAAAATAAACTAGTGGCTAATACAGCTTTTCAAGCAAGTGAGTGTATCATCTGTAACTTTATTATTTTTTATTTTTATTTTTATTTTTTTTTTTAAATCATAGCTGTGTACATTAATGCTATCATGGGGTACAGAGTGCTGTTTCTGTATACAATTTGAAATACTTCATCCAACTGGTTAACATAGCCCTCATGTCATTTTCTTAGTTATTGTATTAAGACATTTATATTCTACATTTAGAGGGATTCACATGTACCCTTATAGGATGAACCTGATTGGTGGGATCATCTATAACTTTAAATGGGCATCATTAAGTTACATTAGTGGCCGAACAGAGAACCAATTGCCGTCCGATCTCAAGTTAAACTTTGGGAAATGTTCTCTTTCTAACTAAAGAAGTAACATGAGAGACAACTGATTGCGATGGCCGTAGGCTTCCACAAGGATAACTAAGCTTTTTCTACTGGATTAGCATGACTTAAAATGATGACAGATGCAGTGAAAGCACGCTCACGTGTATGCACCATCTTTACCTTGCAGAATTTCCACATGTTCTGTTCATCTTTCTAACATCTGAGAAAGGAAGAAATGTCACTCTGATTTTTTTTATGAGAAACGAGAGGCGTGGAAAACACATGGCCCTTGCTTTTACTTATTAGTCATGTGAGGTAGAAGGGGAGCCCCTGTCAGATCTGCTGAGCCAACACCCAGTTGCTACTTCAATAAAATACCAAGTGAGCAGTAGGTTCCTAGAAGAAGCCTTGATGCCAAGCAAGGAATTCCCAGGGGCGGTCAGCGCACAGAGGACTGGTGGCTCCTCCTCAAGGGAACCAGTGGAGCTCCCAGGGATAAGTGATGAGTCCAGGGAAGAATGCATAATCATGGTGAAGGCACATACACCAGAATGTAGGATCGACCGGAAAACATTCTATGGTTGAAATGTGGACTTGGTCTTGACTTTGACTCTTTCAATTATACTGAAGAAAAGGAGGGTTGAAAGGCAAGGTCAGCAAGGTGAGATGGCTTGTAGGCAGGTGGCCCACGGCTGTGGCTTCCTGAGCACCTGCACGTGGTGAGGAACATGTTCAGCCATCAGCATTGCCTTGTCGTAGGGGCCAAGAAGGAAGAAACCTGCAGGCAAGGCGAACTCTTAAGTTCTTTGGTAGGGGAAATTAGCTACCATATGGTATTTGATTTTCACCTTAGGGGGAAAAAAGGCACAATGAAGCTTCTCTGTGGTTCACTATTGCTAATTTGAGGCAATCCTACAGGGACAATTCATAAATTAATTTAGAAGTACTTTGGTTTTATTTATTTTATTTCAAAGTATTAAGTGGGTACTAATGTTTTTGTTACACGGATACACTGTAGGAAGCAGATGTCAGGGTTTTCATCTGGACAGCGTTGATTATGACCAACAGGCAAGTTTTTAATCCCTTGCCCTCCCTGCATTCTGCCCCCTTTGTAGTTTCCAATGTGCTTTCATCTCTTTGCCCATATGTGCCCGTTGTTTAACTCTTGTTTATTAGGGAGAACATGGGGTGTTTGTTTTTCCATTCCTGAAATATTTTACTTAAAACAATGAACTTCAGTTTCATCCACATTACTACAAACGGCGTAACTTAATTCCTTTTTATGGCTGAGTAGTACTCCATGGTTTGTGTGTGTACACGTACACAAATACGAAAACATACAGAGGATATGGAAAAAAATGAATACATGTTTTAAGAAAGGAAAAAACTATTAAATTTGTGATGCTTGAAGTCACATTTGACCTCTGCAATTAAACATCGGTATATATTATTTACAATTTTAATACATGTTATATAACAAATACATATACACAAACACCTCATTTTCTTTAGCCATTCATGAATTGATGGGCACTTAGATTGATTCTGTATCTTTCCAGTTGTGAATTATGCTATGATAAATATTTGGGCACATGTATCTTTTTGATAAAATGACCCTTTTCCCTTTGGGTAGATACCCAGCACAGGGGTTGCTGGATTGAATAGGAGGTCTACTTTTAGTCCTTTTGAGAATCTCCATACTGTTTTCCATAGGAGTGCTACTAGTTCACAGTCCTACTAACAGGAATATAAGCATTCCTTTTTCACCACATCCATGCCGACATCTATTGCTTTTTGACTTTTTAATAATGGTTTCTTTTTTTTTGGAAAACAAACATCACATGTACTTTCTGATAAACTGGAACTAACTGATGGGTACGCAGGTGAATAGAGGGAAGTAAAAGTCATTGGGAATCAAGCTGGAGCCGGGGGAGGAGCAAAACCCAGCTCACGGGAACGATGAGCGCTGTCCTGATGATGGGACCTTCATAGCCCTGACCCAAGCCATGTAACAGGGATATTTGTATTCCCTTAGTATTTACAGATGCATGGAGGAATGAATACATTTAAAAACATTTTTTTTCCACACACACACACAAAATAATAATGGCCATTTTGACGGCAAGGTATTTTCTCATTGTGGTTTTAATTTGCACTTCAGAGGGGCAGTTGAAATATGGCCGTCTTTATATATGGCCACTATAAATATGGTTAGAAACAAAAGTTGTAATCACTAGACTAGGCCAGAGGAGTGAAAAGCAGCAGACTCGGTGGTGAACACCCTCTTAATTAATAATTGATAACCTGGTAACCTTTGGTGGAAAATCAGAGGGGTATAAAATCTTATTGTAGATTAAATAAAGGTCTGGCTATTTGTTTACCTGTCACGAAGAACTTACTGATCAAATAGCTGCATAAACGCTGAACGGAGGTACTTGGGATGGGAGCTCGTCTGACTCTGACACATTCAGAAGCAGTTTTGAGGTGTCCTCTCCAGGCTCATGTGCTCTTCAAGGGTCTTGGAGCACATCTATTAATAAAGCCCTGTCCTTATGGAGCTTGTGTTCTGGGGAGTTGGGTAGCGGAAGTGAATAGTTGACAAGCAACAAACAGAAAAAAAAATGCTAGAAAGTGTTATTGTTACAGAAACAAAAAGCCTTATGATGAGGACGTGGTTTCTGGTTACCATTCATAGGATCAGATGGCCTCAATGCAGGTTTTTTTTTGGCTGGGGCCAGGTTTGAACCTGCCACCTCCGGCATATGAGTCCAGCACCCTACTCCTTGAGCCATAGGCGCTCCCCCAGATGGCCTCACTGCAAAGGAGATATTTAAGCCAAGACTTGAGGTGCTGGTACTTACCTGTGTAACTTTGGAAGTCACTTAGGTGCCGAGGTTCTTAGCGCACTTAATGAATATTTGACTAATAACTTCCAAGTAATGCCCCCTTGCATCCTGAAGTGATCACCACGCAACACAGTTAAGAGCGTGGGTGCAGCAGCTGGCTTTACCTCCCTTGTTTAGCTCCTTTCATTCCATTCTCCCCTTTGCTTTAATCGCACTCTGGTGCCTTTAGTCAAAGGAAGGTCGTCTGCAGAGAAGGGAAGTCATATAATTTCACTGTAAAGCTCATCTCTTGATCCTCTTATTAGGTGTAGTGGTATAGTGCCAAACCAATGAGCGCCCAGTAGAGTCACGACAAGGAGTTAACTTCCATGTTTTTGTCAGGGCTGCTGAACCAGAAACCTGTGTGTCTGGGCTGGGTCTGGTTATCACCTTGGACTCTCATCATAGCCTGTCGAGATGGGCTGTGCCTTCCTTAAGCCCTTCATTTTTCAGAGAGGGAGTCTGAGGCAGAAACCCGAAGAAACCTGGGGGACGTCACACAGCCAGTGAGCAGCCAGTGGTGAGAGGGTGGGTCTCAGACTTTGCCCTGCCACATTCAGGAGGTCCACTGGGACCCTTCCCATATGCTGATTCTGGGGCATAGTTCTTAGAATCTGTTACCTTGAATGATGGGTAATTTGGCTCTTTATAAGAAAAATGATGACCTTTAGGACTTGTACTGTATTTTGCTTTTGTTGTTAAGCAGAGAACAGATAGGGAACTTTAAAACTTTGTTTTTGTCCCATTATAACTAAAGAATTACTTGTGTGTTTGGTACCTGAGATGGTGAACTTGACCTATAATCACTGTTGCTTGAAGTGAAAGTTGTAGAAACTTATGTGGCACCAGCAAATGTCATTCTGTGGTCCTGCCTCTCGAGTGCTCTGTGAGCTAGAGACGGAGATTAGCACATCTGTGTTTCCTTTGTTGTAAAACTGATTAATCCCAGTGCCTTTTACCCCCTCTTCATTAACCTCAGGGCAGAGCATCATACAGTGTCAAGGATTATGGTGTCAGGTTTTTTGTTGTTGTTGTATTTTTTTTTTTTTGAGACAGAGTCTCACTATGTCACCCTCAGTAGAGTGCAGTGGTGTTACAGCTCACAGCAACCTGTAACTCTTAGGCTTAAGCGATTCTCTTGCCTTTGCCTCCCAAGTAGCTGGGACTATAGGGTCCTGCCACAATGCCCGGCTGTTTTTTTGTTATTGTTGTCCTTGTCGTTTAGCAGGCCCTGGCCGGGTTTGAACCCACCAGCCATGGTGCATGTGGCAGGTGCCCTAACCACTGAGTTAGGGGCACTAAACTCAGTTTAGACCCAGGTCCAGGCCCTTACATGTTCTTATTTAACCACTCTGAATTTCAGTTTTCTCACCTGTAATTGGGGGAAAGTATGACTGTTTTGAGAGATATTTTGAGGTTTGAAGATATCACCTCTATGTTACTTGTCACAGGGGGGCAGCTGGAACGTGGTGGCTGCTGCTGCTGCTGTCCTCAGCGTCCTCGTGTCTCAGGTGTTCAGTGCTTAATGCTTGCCCGTTTTCCTTTCTCCTCGGTAGGATGCGAGCCCTGAGACTGTTCCTATCATGTTGGTAGGAAACAAGGCTGATCTTCGTGACACTGCTGCTGCAGAGGGACAAAAATGTGTTCCAGGATTCTTTGGAGAAAAACTGGCCATGGTAAGAGCGAGGGCGGGTCTGAGCAGGAAGAGAAGGCAGCAGTTTCATGGGCTCGGAGTCTGTGGTTTTCACTTCTGTCTACCTGTGCTTGGGAGGTTCTTTGATAAATCCCACCGTGTTTGATGGGGTATTGGTGCTTCTTACACAGGACTCCCACGACCCCCACCTTTCATGAGCATAAGTAATGAGCTAGGTAGGGGTTCAGCCCCTCTTGAAGGCAAAATAGTCATGATTGTTTCCCCTCTAAGTTTCTTTGACAAAGAGGAGCTGAAATACTCACCTTACCTCCTGCCTCTCACCCAGTTCCTGGACTCCTTCTCTAGCCCTGGAATCTAGGTGAAGGATAAAGAATGGTGTCCTGTTTTGAAAAGATGGGTTTGTGGCTCCAGAGGGTTACAGTGCCTAGGGGCAGAAGATGGTGCAGTGCCTCTGTCTCTCCTGGGCAGATGGGAATTGAGGACTTCTTTGTGCTTAGTTGGAATAGTCTAAAATTAACTTTTGGTCATGGATTTGTATACAGGGAGAAACATTAGAATATGACTATTTTTTTCTCCCACTGTTATTTATTTATTTATTTTTTGAGACAGAGTCTCCTTTTGTTGCTGTAGCATAGTGGCTCACTGCAACCTCAAACTCTTGGGCTCAAGTGATCCTCTTGCCTCAGCCTCCCAAGTAGCTGGGTCTACAGGTGCCTGTCACAACACTCAGCTATTTTTAGAGATGGAGTCTTGCTCTTACTCAGGCTGGTCTGGAACTCCTGAACTCAGGCAGTCCACCCAGGCTGGATTCCACAGTGCTAGGATTACAGGCGTAAGCCACTGGGCCCAGCCTTATCTGTCGTCTTGTCAGAATGCTTTACGGCCCTCTTATGACCCGTCTTCCTTGTACAAGCAACCAGATGCCCATGGGATGAAATAAGTTTGCCCCATAGCAGTCTGATCTGATGTTGTCTGTTATCAGTACCAGGAATGGACTACTGGGTAGCAGGTGAACTTTAAAGGGGGGTTTCAGTTCTACTAGTTTAAATGGGGGAAACTCTTTCCTGTTTTAAATCTTGGAACTGCAAACCTAATGGGATAAACTTCACAAGAAGGCAGTGAAGTGCCGGAGAGGTACATGCAACACCTAGTTTATTGCCTGCACCGTGTGAGAAGCACTTTTATCATGTGCTGGACAAAGGACAGAGGACAAAGCAGATGTTCCTTGTCCTCATATAGCTTACAGTCTGGGGAGATGGATGTTAAACTCATGTATCCCATGTGCCGAGCCGTCCTACACAGGCCTACACAGTCCTTTCGCCAGGTACTGGTTCTGTTCCCTGTCCGTGATTTCTTGGCATTGCCGGGGTTTGCCCCTTGGGCCTGTCGTGCCCTGTCCCCTCCTGCATCCTTAGATGCAGTCACTATTTCACCCCTTACCATCCTGCATATAGAAGTCAGCAACAGCACCAAGTGTTTCTGCTCCAAGTGCATCTGCTTTGTGATTCCAGAGTTTTTTCCATGGATTTGGGGGATCATGGAGGCTCTCCCCATTGCCTCTTCTCACTGTCCCTGCTCCTGAGCAAGCATCCTAGCCTCGCCTTGTCCCATGTGGGGTTGTTTAACCCACACCCAGGCCCATGGCAGATGTCCTTTAATAAGGGAACAAGTCTCCAGCTTGCCAGACCACAACACCCCAAAATAACTTGAGCCATTAGAATGGTGGCCAGTGCCGTGCAGGAAGAATACAGTGTGTGGTGAGGTTTTAGGATAGGAAGCCCTATGTTTTAGGGTTAGCTAAAAGAGACTTAATCTTACCTTCAAGGAAGGAGTATCTTAAAAATTGAAAAAGTAGGTAGGAGTCAGACTGATACAGGGGTTAGGGGGCAGAGGTGAACCTAGGTAATGAGAAGAGCACGTGCAAAGGTCCTGAGGTGGGAAGAGATTAGGGCACTGGGGAAACAGGAAGGCTGGGGTGACTGGGGCTCAGCAAGTGAGGAGAAAGGGTGGGGATGAGGCTGGAGGCCTGTCTGGGGCTACACCAAGCTGGGCCTGTTGGTGGTGGAAAAGCCATTGAAAGGTTTGAAGCAGGAGAGTTACATGATGAATGATTATATTCATAACCCCAGGGAGGCTGGATAAGGGAGGACCAGATAGTTTAATAGTTTGAGCGCCACGGAGGCTGCTGGATCCTGATGGGGCGAGGTGGTAGTGTGAGGGAGGGCATGTGCTAGCTGCTGGCCCAAAGGAAGCCTATTTTACATGGGCGTGTAATTCCTTCATGGTTACCTTAAGCGAGCATTTTTATCTCTCTCAAATTATTTGATAGTGAACATTTGGTAGTATGTGTGTGACTGTTGGAAATAAAAACCATAAAACGTGAAATTTTATATTTATGCAAAGTAAGTAAATCCTCCGACGAGGTAACTGTTCTTGGAATAGCCGGGCTCAAACTTATTTTTTGTTGTTGTTAGTATCGAAATTCAGTTTCTTAGCTCTCAAGCATTCATAGCATGCTCAACAGGAAAATATTTGTGTTTTATTTCATTGATTTTAAAAGCAAAAATTCCAAGAAACCAACTAAAGCCTTCATTTAATTGAGTATATTTCTTCTCTGCAGACCTACGGAGCATTATTCTGTGAAACAAGTGCCAAAGATGGATCCAACATTGTGGAAGCTGTGCTCCATCTTGCTCGGTAAAGTTTTGCCTTGTATTTGGGAAACAGGACGTAGTGTTGAACTTTTACCTACTTGGTGCTACGCCAACTTTTTTGACCATAATTTGTTGTTAAAATATACCTTGGAAAATGGTGTCTTGTCTTTCAGTCACGGTAGGAGGGACAATCCACATGGGTGTTACAAAAACCGGTAATGCTGCTGTGAACACGGGCAAAATAGCTTTACTGCCAAACAAAACAGATTCATCTGCGGTATAGTTGACATTTCTGCAGAATGTCACCACAAAGCTCATAGTTGACTTGTACCAATCATTTCCAGGAACCAGATTTTGAACATAAGAGACTATTATAAATACAGCTATCTACTCTGACATTTTCCTTGGTCAAAGAGGGTGGGGGAAAACCCTGCAAAGTAAACTGTGCATCTGGCCAGTTGGAAATGCTTTTTCAAAATTATTACCTAGGTAATTATTAAGCTGAGGCAGTGGCACCTACATTTTGGGGTGTAGATGAGCATGAAAATGGCATCATTAAAGCCGTTGGATGTAAACGTGTTTTAATCCTTGAAGTATTCTCAAGAAATAACCTTATCTGTTAACGTTTTCTCTTCTGCTTCGTTTTCTGCTACGAATGAAAAGGTGATTCTTTACTGGCCTAAAGGGATTAAATATAAGGGAAAAGGGGGGGAAATCAAAACATGCTTTAACAAAATTTCAGGACAGTGATCTTTAGTTGCAGAGAAAGTTGACACATAACTTTTGGCATGTCATTCTTTTTCTGATTATTTATAGGATTTTATAAGAATCTTAAGTTCAGCATGGTAATTGGACTCTGCTGCTAGGAAACATTGATAGTTGAAATACTTTGCAGTATCTTTGATACTGTTTTCTCATTAACAACCTGGTATTTGTAGTGCCTAATGGAATAGAATTCTATTAATAGGATGCTTGAATTAGGACCAGGGTGTAGATCTTTGCCCTCACTTTAGAGAATCAGGAAACAGATCCCAGGACTTCAGGTGGCCCACTTGGCATGAATTGGTGGCAGAGCTTGGCAGATGCCCTGGGCTTACATTCAGCATCTTGAAATATTTTCCACTCTGACATCAGTCCAAGAGAGATAACCACCTCTTGGGAATCATTTTTGTTTAAAAATAAAAACAATGCTAACTTTGAATGTGACCCAGAACAGGTATTTTTTTTTTTAATGACATTTTTTAAACATGTATTGATTCAACTGAATCACTTGGCCTTTTTGCCTGTGATTAGTCGAAGAATCATGGGCTAATACCCATGTCAAAAAAAGAGCCAGGGTAAAACCTTGATACATTGAGTCATGTAGTGATTTTGAAACACTTGTGGGTGCATAGGTAACACCAGCCATTCTGGCCAAAGAAGCTACATTCAGTAAAGAGGGTGGAATTCAGTGAAAGGCAGTCTTTGACTTACATGAAGATGGAGTCGTTGCTGAATTGGCGGGTGCTTTCACTTTTCCAGATGGTTGTATTTGTGTTTTATTAACATGAGGATGCCTGGATGGAAGGGAGGTAGCTGTTGGGGCATATGGTGTTAGGAAGGATGTGCAGGTCTTCAGAGCACCATGGGGCTGCCTTGGTCTTTGTCGGTGAGTGGAGCGCCCTAAAGGATGCTGTGGTCCCGGCTGCTGCCCAGCATATTGGAAGATCGTGGTGTCAGGAGACTTTAAGTCCATTCTCAGACCCAGCCCTGAGTACCTAGGGAGTCTTGAGCAAGTCTCTCTGTCTTACTTTTGGCAACTCTATTCTGTAAACAGGACAGGACTGAATAAAATGGTCCCCATGGCCCTTTCTAATTCTAACAGTCTGGGATTCTGCGTGTGATAACCTGTCCTCCACTGAATAATGTAATCACAACTTAATGCTCAGTTGTCTGATGGGGTCTTATTAAAGTTAAATGGCTCTGAAGTGCCCCAGTTTGACCCAGAGCGCAGAGTCTATCATAAAGATGGGCGAGGCCGTGACCTGCCTGCGCCTTTCTCCCCATCTGCTCCTGTACGGCTGTCAACCAGCCCTGTTGACGGTGTACCTTAGACACAGGCTCCTGCTTGTTTACTTAAAACAACTGGTATGCAAAGATATTTTGATAAGGAGGTCACTTCACCTGTGTAATGGGCAGGTCATAACTTTTTTTAGAAATCTGACAAGCTTTTCGTGAATCACTTATCATAGAGTTGTTTTTTTTTTTTAATTCTTATTGCATTATGTCCTGGTTGGGGCCTCTGGTGATATTAGTGATAGGCGAAATATAAAAATTATAAATAAAGCACATCTGGGAAGACTTTAACTGCTTTACACTCTGCCTTCAGATTTGCTGGTCATAATACCCCAGTCTCAAATGGAAACATTACAGTCTCACAGATGAATGTATCATTTTTTAAATGCAAACTTTAGAAAGTTATGTGTGATGCAAAACATGTAGGCTGACACTTTCCATCTCTTAAGGCGATCCCTGCATCGTTAGTCCAGAAGAATGTATGAGTTTGCACTGTGGGAAACAGTTTGTTTTTGAAGGGAGGCCATAAATGTTTTGTTAACAACCTGAATGACTCTGCTTTTTCTTGGAAAACCTCTCAATCCCAGAAAAAGTTTCTCCTAGAAATGCAATTTCCCTGTAGTGCTGAGACGTCTTCTTTCACAGCCAGGGCCCCATTAGTAAGTAAATTTGCCATCACTGCCAACACTGGAACCGGCTTTAACATTTTGCGATAGAGTCAAGTTCAACGGGCATATTTGATTGACCAATGACTTGAAATTGGGGAAAAACAGAAAAAGCTCAAGCTGATGTATTAGTTTAGCATAACTGCTGAACCCTTTGGGCATAAATTTACCCAGAAGATGCATAAAATGCAATTGTTAAGCGGATGGTAGTTTTTAGGTGACTTAATTTTCCCAGCCTTAAGTCTGCTTTTGATATTTGGAATTGTATTTCTAATTTTCTTTAAAGTGGAGCATGCCAGTATTTCCTGGCAGATTGAAGACACAAAGCTAGATGAAAGATGGGGGTTATAATATATTTCCTTAGTATTTGCTTTCAGTTTTAATACTGTCGGCATTGTAAGTACCTAGTGTGTGGATAGCCCCATATTAGGGTCAATGGAGATATTATATCAAGGGAATGAAAGACAGGCCTTGCAACTTAACATTTGAGGAGAAAAAAATAACAATGTATGACCAGGAAACCAATGGGAATGTAGCTAATAGAGGCCATTGGTCCTCCCAGAAGGGAGAGATGTGAGTTGTTCTGTGAGGATGCTATGATTATTATATCCATTTTAAAATAGGAAAATTGGGAATTAGAATGCTGATCAGTTTGCTCAAAGTGACACAGCTAAGCAGGCAGCAACGTGAGGACTCTACTGCTACCCCACATCACTAGCTTGCCACTTACATGTTGGTAGTCTCAGAGTTCCGTGCTGCTCTCTCTCTGGCTTCCGTCCCCACGGCTTCTGGAACCATGCTAGCTGGTGGCTTCCAGTTTCAGTATTTTTAACCCCCACCTATTTAAAAAATTCCATTAGCATATTCTGAACCACCAACTGGAAATCCCACAGGTATAATGACTACATACCCACAGCCTAACGTGTTAATGTTTCTTTACAGGAATCTACCAAAATGATAATTAAAAAATAGTCACCTGGAGCCAATCTTGAGTGCTTTCCCCTCTCACGTCATTCCCCATCTCCAGTAGCTCCAGGGCCCTGTTGATGCAGTGACCTCTCTGTCTATCTTGAATCCATGCATCTCTCTGTGTCTGTCTCTCTCTCTGTCTCTCTGTCCTTCTCTGTTTAGTTCAGGCCTCAGAATTTCCTGCCTGGGTTAGCGTAGGGGTTTCTGCCTGACAATTTCTCCAATATCCATTCATTCTCCGCTCTTCAATCAGAGAAATCATACAAAAAATCCAATTAATATTTACTGTTTTGCTTACAATCCCACATTGGTGTCCTTCCTACAACATAAATCTAGCCTCCTCAGCATGGGGCTAATACTCCTTCACAGCTTGACTTCACCTACCTTTCTGATTTTATTTTCTTTTTTCTCAAATGAATGAAAATCTGTAGACACAGTGCAAGGTCGTGGTGCCCAGAGACGAGACTAAAGTGGAGATGTTCAGGCCGGGTTTATTGAAAGGAGAGGGTGATCCATCTGGGCAGTGCAAAGTGTGTCTGCACTGGGCCAGTTGAGACCCTTTTCATAGAGCTGTAGTGGGTAGGCAAACTCTATAGCTTCCCAGAAAGATAGGGTCTTTGGAGCAAACTTTTGGGGTGTGGGCAGCCCAATCCTGTGTCTCCTTTGTCTTAGGAGGAGAGGAGGGAAGGAGGGGTTGGGGAAAGGGTTTGTGTGTGGCTGCATTAGGCCCTCTATCACACAGCAAGTTTTGTGTCTAGTCATGGCCAAGGTTTTTATGCTTCTGCCTTTATGCATGCTGTTCCCTACACCTGTGATCTCCTTTCTTCATTGGCTGCAGTTGAGTTCTTATTCTTCCAAAGAGTCCATCCAATGTCAAAGTCTCCAGGAAGCCTGCAACACACACACATGTGTTAAGAGCTCCCCTGTGACTTTGCAAATATTTATTGAGACTTCTGTCTTTCCCTCAAAGCTCACAGGGGGAGGATCCCAGAACCTGGCCTAAACTGGACAGTTTTTGAGTGACAAAATAACCAAGAGACCAAGATTTTGCTTTTGAAAGTTATACTAATTTTCTCTTACCACTTTAACATATGCCCACACTAGTAGCAGCTTAAACAATGCACATTTATTATCTGACAGTTCTAGAGGTCACTTTAGTGAGACTTACTGGGGGTTACAGGGTGAATTATATCTCTTCTTTCTCTTCTTAAGTCTTTGTTTCCTTGTCTGTCATACTCCCATGTCACCTGCCAGTGCTGTGTATACATGTAGGGGGCAATGTTACATAAGAAAAACATGAAAATGTGTATCATCAGTTTTAAAATATCTCATTGATGATATTTTTTATTGCTTACATGGTGAAACGATAAAGGTTTTGCTATACTTAATATTGTAAGTAAAATATATTAATAAAATTATTTTCACCTATTGCCTTTTGTATTTTTTTTATTCTGGCTCCTAACAAACTTAAAAGGAAATGTGTGGATCACATTATATTTCTATTGAGTGACGTCACTCTACTGGAAATGTACAGTTTCCCAATAGCTTCATTTGAAATAGCAACTATTTTATATTTCTCACAGTTACCAGAGTTGGCTGGATCTGAGCTGGAAGCTTTCTTGACTGCCTTTGCTTGGGGTGTTATTGTGTGTTTGCCGTCAGCTGGCCACTGATGCCATGGCTTGGGTTTAGGTGTCGGCCACCAGGGTGCTCCCTCACATGGCTCCTTTCCATGTGGCCACCCTGGTGGCTTCTCTCCACTGAGGAACCCAGAGCTTCTTAAATGGCAGCCCAAGACTTTAAGGAGAAGGAGGCTGAAGCCTCTAGACATTATAAACACTTGGAGTTGGAAGTTGCAGGCACCGTTTTTTCTGTATTCTATTGGTCAAAGCAGGTAGAGAGCCATCCTTCGTGATGGGGGAGCTGAGCATGGACAAGGAAGGGCAGAATTGTGTGGGAACGAGCCTCTGTGCTCATCTTCCCCACTTAGCTTGTCTGAGGCAAGATTTCAGAGATCTCACTTTTCACAGGCTTCCTGGAGTCTACCCTTGGAAGATACTGCTCTGAGGAACTTTATTGAGATCTTGGAGAATAAGACATTTTATGTTAGTGTTGCCTCTAGCAGTTAACTTTAAAAGAAATTTAGGATAAGGTGAAAGGATGGTTTTAACTATTCATTGTTACCTTCATGATCATGTGTGATTAAAAGATGGTTACAAAACCACTTGGCTTTTGTGAAGATCTGCAAGCCTTACTGCGACCTGGATACCAGGTTCCAGAGTCTTAAGGAGCAAGCTTTCCTGTGGCAGACTGTACAGCATCCCAGAGCCTCAGGAGAGAACCAGGGGAGGGGTGTGTGTATGGCCTGGTGGTCAGAATACAGGTGTCCCAACCAGCCCACATGGTTTGAATGCCACTCCTCCACTCAGGAGGACCACTTGTGACCTCAGGGAAATTTCTTAACCTCTTTTTGCCTTCATTTCCATATGTATGTGTGTATATAATATATATGTATATATATGTATATTTCCATATATATTATATATATAATGGGGCACAACAAATTTATATGGTTCTTGTGAAAATTAAATAAATCAATACCTATAAAGCATTTAGAATGTCTAGATGAGTGTTTTTCAACCTTTCTAATCCCATAACACCCTTGAATCTATAGTCACGACACACTCAGTTATGTTGATCAAAAAAAAAAAGAGTAAAAAAAAGAATATACTTATTGTGTTTCGAAAAATACTTTAATTAATGATCTCAAAAATTTTTCATGGTACTCCTAAAGTCCTCTCATGGCACACTGTTTGAAAATCACTGGTCTAGGTGGCCCGTGTAAACACTCAGCATTGCAATATTTATTTCTACAGAATCATCTATGGCTTGGTTTGTACCTTAGTAATCCTCTCTCTCTCCCTTTCTCTCTCTCTCTGTCTCCCTACACCCTCCCTCCAGAGAAGTGAAAAAAAGAACAGATGAGGACGACAGCAGATCCATTACCAATCTGACTGGGACCAGTTCCAGAAAGTCAACACAGATGAAGAACTGTTGCAATAGCTAAATTCCGAACATCTTTGGCCTGTGAAGCCTTCATTTCCCAACCACTGACTTTGGGTGGCTTGCTAGAATGGTGCATCCTACTGAAACTGTCAGATGGCGAGTTGTGGAGTGGGAAATCCAGACTGTTTCCTCTGGTCCTCCCAGAACCTCAGCTCTTTTTTGCTGTGTCTCTAAGAGCGACTTGGGCCCTCTGGCGGAATAGATGTATCATGTAACTGTTTTTGAAGTGGTAGAAAAAAAAATCACATACTCCATAAAGCTACCGAAGAAACTTGCTGACATGATTGGATTCATGTGCTGATGTTGTAGATCACCTAAGACAACGTTTACGTAAAATATTTCGTATTGGAGTCCTAGTGAAAGGGAGTTTTCATCCTAGCTTTGTTGTTAACTAGCTTTGTGATCTTAGCCATGTCACCAGCCCATGTCAGATCTGTTTCCTCACTTATAAACCAGCAACTTGGCCTGGCAGGACTTGGCATCTGTCAGATCCTGCAGTACTCTGAGTGGAGTGGGGCAGGGGAGTTGGGGGACTGCAAGGACCAATGACCCATAGTTAATAAGGACTCTGGCTATTCTTGCTTTTTTAATATTGGGGTATTGATTTTTATCACTTCTGCAGTAAGAACAGAATTTGAGAAAAAATGGAAATAGAATACTCTATTTTTATAAAGAAAACATTTGAGACGAAAATAGTTATTTATATATAAAAGAACGTATTTCATCATCTCAGAAGACTTACATAATCTATGGTTTAAATATAGTGCTAAAAATTCTAATGAAAATATACAAAACCACATACTACTGAAAGTCCAATGCCCAGGAAAGTTGTCACTCAAGGCTTAAAAAACAAAATACACCCGTGAGTGGCTGCCGGGGGCTGGGGAAAGAGGGGAACTGGAATGGCTGCTGATGGGTATGTGGTTTCTTTGGGGGGTGTGGACAATGTTCTGGAATTCAAATAGTGGTGATGGTTGCACAACTTTTTGAATATACTGAGAACCACTAAATTACATTCTTTGAAAGGGTGAATTTTACAGTATGTGAATTGTTATCTTGTTAAAAATGGTACTGGCACTTAGAATGATTTAACATTTTGCCAAATAAAAATGTTCATGCTTCTTTGAAACCTTCCCATGGTTGAAAGCATAATCTGTAATACAGTGCAAATCCCCTCACTCCCTAGGTGTGAGCATTAACTTTCTTAAATAATGAGCAAAGAAAAAAAATGCTGTATGTAGTTTTGGAAAATAATGCCTTGAAAAGAGGAATTCCATTAAGAAAGGTTGGTCTTCCTTTCCTTCTAGAACCTGCAGTGCCTCCCCAGACTTCCCTCCTGTAATGTGTCTAAGAACCAAAGGAGTCAACACCTGTCCCCAGGGCAGGCCAGTGAGGACTGGCTTTCAGTGGCCTGAACCAATTAAGTTATGCAACAAGAGATTTGAACTTGCCTTGGTTCAGCCACTAGGTACAGACCCCAAGCAACTTGCTGAAAAACTTAAATTACAGCTGTTATTTGTTCTATTATATAAGCTAAAAACATTTTTTGTTGAATTAAAATAATTCTATATTTTTTTCTGTTTATGATTTTTGTGATTAAACGTTAAACTTCCCAAGCTTCTTTTTAAAAATGGAAATGACCTGCTATGTTACATAGGAAGATTATAAATAACTACAGCATCATTAAATTTTGAAAAACATGCCTTCTTCTATTGAAGATATCTAATATTTTTACTGGAAGTTTGGATCTAGCCTCCATATTTCTACCTTGAATTCCTATTTCATGTTTCATAGTTTTTGGTCCCAGAAAAGAAAAAAAAAAAAAAAGATTACCTTTCTGATCAAAGAGAGTGCCTCGTTCATGGAGAATTGTCCACATAAATGGGGACAGAGGGATATTACATTTGTGGAACGGTGAAACAAAAGTTGTGCCATTACTGTTTGCCTCAGTGTCATCTCTTGAGCCCACATGAGATTGGACTTGATATATGTGTTTTGATATCTGGGACACATGTTTGAGTTTTGGTGCATTTGCACAAAACTGCGTTAGTATGTGTGTTGTGTTGCCTTTATTTATTTCCTCCAAAGTATCTCTTTATATTTATCTTATAATCTGTAAATAAGAATATACCTTTAATACAGAAGTATTATGTTGGTCTTTGCCTCTGGATCGGACTGTCAGTACACCCACGTTGATTAGAAATTACACATGTGCCTTTGGTAGACAAGCTGATCATCTTTCATTATTTGAGCCCAGATAAATATTGTGGTAACATAATCCAAATTAGAGATTTAGAGCTCTGGTTAGCAATCTTGTTTAAAGAAAAGCTCCTTAATCAAATTTAAAGTGTATGTTCAGTAAGGACAAAAATATTAATGTTTTTAACTTGAGCTTCATTTGATACATTTGCATATTCCTAGGGACGTTACCTTTCTATTTTTCCTTTGAAAGTTTTTAAAGTCACAATTGTACTGCCATCTTTTTTTTTAATATATCCTGATATGTTGGAAAATATTTTAATTTCATTGTGGAAAATAATGTTGGATAGGAAGACATTTTTCACTATTAACCTTCAGCCCCGTGCATTTTCATAATTTATTTTTCCACTTACTGCTTTCTATAACATGTGTGACATTTGATTATTTAATGCCGGATATAATTTGCATAAACCCAGTCGTGCAACCCTCCTGCCGAAGATAAAATTGAGGTTAAAGATAAAGATTTATTTTCATATTTGTAGAGTGATCAGCTTCAGAGTGATGGTTTTTGTGGGCTTTTATTGTATGTGTGCACAAGAAATTTCACATGTATATATTAAGTAGGCCTCTGAGGATTGAATAATTGTTTTATGATTTTGATTTATACAGCTTACATTTTCATAGTATGGGCCACATTTCGTTTATACTGTTTATTTCTCTTCAAACCATTAATAATTATACCATAAAGTGTAATTTTTATTGCAGTGCGAATGTCTGAGGAACTACAAATATTGTCTGTGTTGTAAATTCAATAAAGCTTGCTTCCTTTGGCCTTTTGGGGGTTTCCTTCAGCTCTACTACAGATATCCCTGAGGTAATTTTAATTCTAAGATGTGTCTGCTTAGAACCATACCTCTGAAACACTTGTCTTTTCTGGACGTGGCAAGCTGCCTGGTGGGGAAAAAGAATGCCTGCCTGGTGTGCCATGCTGTGGCTCAGTCGTGCTGGCCAACAGGGCCACAGTAGACCCGTGTGGGTCATGGCAGCCAGGAATGGTGAGGCTTCTGTAGAAGAGTGCCCTGGCCATCCTCGTGGCCTCTGAGGGGCCAGTTCCTTTCTTTGACACTCACCCCTTTCCCTTTGCTCCCATATTGTCTAGCTGACTCCTCCAGAAGTTTTCCCTGAACCCTCTCCCAAAAACTAGGGTGAGGCTGCCTGCTTCTACTTCTGTACTACTACTACTACTTTTAAAATTTATGGACATCACTGTTGCCCTTACACTTGTTACCTAGACAGATGCTCCAGGCCCTTACCCACTGTATCTACTGCTACCTCCCTCCTGTGCTGCATAGTGCTGGGTACTTGAAGAGGACTAATGATTGAATGGATGATCAGAGAATTACCTGGTTAAATAAGGTGGGCTTTGCAAAGAGTTACTGCAGACACCACATGCACACACACAGTCTATACAAAAATAATAATGGACTGTATAAATAAAAGGCAGCCTATTTTAATCGGTGTGAACTCCACAGCCAAGCGGCGTGGGTCTGAACCTGGCCTCAGATCTACTAGTCTGAGGGACTTAACCTTTGGGAGCTCCAGCTTCTTTATTTGTAAAGTAGGATGATAACAGTACTCCTTTCTCATGGAGTTGTTCTGAGGACTAAATAGGTTAATGTATATAAAGGGCTTGGAATGTTGCATGACACTTTGTTCACCTGAATTAAAAAAAAAAAAAGTTTTAAAGCCCTGTTGATTGCACTGGTTTTGTTCAGAACCCTGGGAACTGCCTTCAGTGAGTAATAACTCCAGAGATTTGCCAGAAAACAGGGAGGATGAGGCATAGTGGAGGGTTCTTTCCTATATACATTCTGGGTATTTCAGTAGACACAAACTTGGAGAATGATACAGGATAGGATATTGTGTACAATGGATTAAAAGAGAAGGAAAAAATTGAGAGAAAAACAGGGGTCAGAGCCTGAAACATAGCATGGAAAAATGTGAATGGAATCATGAGAGGGGTAGGATATCCATTAATTATGGTGGATGGAATCAAGTTATGGAAAGGATAAAGAAAATACTGAGTTCTGACTGGGACTTTGAATCTAAGTGACAGTAAAAGTGGTAAGGAGGGTGGAATGAAGGAATTCTCTCAATAAATGGAAACTGATTTTTATGCTGTGACAAGTAGCCTCTTGACAAAGATCTCCCATGGATGTGTTAGGCAGTTAGCTAAACATGAGCCAAGTGGATGATGGATATAGTTAGGCTTTTTTGGATTGGTTTGGGTCAGGCTGCCCTGGGCTGTTATGGGAATAAGGCTGATTAAGAACTTGGGGGTGGGTTGTTTTGAAAACAGAATTAAGACCCTGGGAGACTTTCAAGAAGCAGTTGATACTCCTCAAAGTTGTGTATAAGATGCAAAACTGCATTTTCCATGGAGCCTGCAGTCACTAGGACCGGGCCCAGCTTGCTGTGCAAATCGTTGGTTAATAAACTTTCTTTTGCTTAGTAAAATTTTAGCTGTTCTTTTCAATTATTTCAGCAACTATGTCGAACCACTGTGCTTCTCTACCAGATATATCCCAAATTCCATGAGTTGGGAATGAATCCCCAGGAAAGCGTATTATTTTGTAAGGTTTAAAATTTAAAAAAATTTTTTTTTCTTCCAGATATGGATGTTAAAATGTTTTCATAGCTAAAAATGGAAAAAGGATGTAAAAAATACTTCAATTTAAAATGATAAGGTAAGTTAAATTTTCCTATGCAAATTCTAGGAATGCTCATTCTCTTCCTTTTTCTGCATTTTTCATATCTGTGTATCAGATTTATTTGTGAATTTATATTTCTTAATTTTCTGTAGCATGGCCATTTAGCTGGAAGGCCCTTTAACTTGTGACCTTTCCAGTTGGAAGTTTATGACCCATCTTTCATAACATTTGACTTAGGCTTTCACAGAGGTCCTCATTATCCACAGGATGTTGGCTTTCTGAATATTCTTTCA